ATTTTATATTACAAATATGTTTGTAATGAAAGAATGATGTGATTAAAATTTCAGGCAATTTTAAAGTAAAGAAACATGCAGAAATCTTATTTATTTTACAAATATATTTGTAATAAAGGAATGATATGATTAATAAACTAAAAATAAAATTTCAGGCAATTTTGAAATACTGAAACATGCAGAAATAAGTATCACAAGCATCAGCCTGTGGCAACAGTAGCAAATGTTGGTGGTTGAGAATAGACTTACAGACTGGGAACAGATTTTAGATGGTATTTTAGGACATTACAATCCATGCAGCTTCATTTCTGTGCCATTGTTTGTCAATTTATACTGGTTGCTATTGTCATTCCAGTTTCTGCACAATCATTGACCAGACATTTTCATTTTATGAGAAATGTAGAAAATGTCTTGGCCAAGGCAGAAGTTCAACATCTAACATCCCATGTATTAGGAAATATAGGACATCATGGGAAACATAGTCTCATGCTGTCCTATGTAAGGTAAGGTGATGGAAGCCCTGAAAATATGGCACAGCCTTGCAAGTAAAACCTCTGTAGTGTAACAGTAGTCAAAATACAGTACAAAGTCCAAGATCTGGATGTCCAAAAGAACCCAGACCTCAAAGCAACCAACGTTTTTTCTTTTTCTTTTTTTTTTTTTTTTTTTTTTTTTTATGCTTTACACATACACATTTGATTCCCCCTTCCCAATAATAAATCATGTGAAGAGTCCCGATTCTTAATTTCACTTTGGCATTAAATAAAATACCTCGTTATTAAAGAAACAGTCATTTTAGCATAAATTGGTGTGATCAGTAATTTAGCTCTGTAGCTGCATATTTGCTTTGTATACATCTCAAACTGAAACATTTTACATAGAAACATTGTTGACCTACTAATATTTTATATCCTTGACGCCAACCTGGCGAATCATTATTTATTATATTTGCTTTTATCAACACATGACAACTTGAGTAATGACTCATGCAGCGATGCCTAAAAAAATTTTTTATATTAGTAACAATATAACAGTATTGAATAACAAAGAGTATGGTAACCTTTCATGTTGATGCTTGGCGATGATTACAGATTTAAGTTAAATGTACTAAGAAATGTTGATAAGGAAAAATTTAACAAAAATCTCTTTCCATATGCTAAAAATAGATTTTGTTAATGATACTTATAGGCCAAAAGATTTTTTACATATTACATTTTATTTGAATTAAGAATAACTGATTTGTTATTTACGTAAACTCGGAACTTTCGCCCATAACTTGTAAGACAAAATTTTTAAAATTTAGAGAAGCACCGAGCAACAAAACTTTTAGAATTTTAGGGAAAGCACTTAAGGGGTGGCAAGAATTTAGAACTTAATTGCTTGTTTGCAGAATTTAGGACTGCAGAGATTGCATCAGGCGGTGTAAAATATCTAGCGCCTGCCGTCTATAAGCATTAAGTATATGTGGGAATTTATTTATTCATGACTCGTATAAACCTTAAATATAATAAATAACTAATACAATTCAGGCTTAATTGTCTCAGTACATGATAGAATCAAGATAAAATTTAGTGGAACAACTTGTCTTTCTTCTTGTCGCAAATCTCGTAATACATAGCCAAGAATGTCTACTTGATGCTATTAATATCTTAAAGCTAAATTATACTTTACTAAGGTTATACATTACTGATTCCAAGGAATTTTAGTTAATATAGCAGATTGTGCTGTTCTTTCTAATTTCACTCAGCTTATTATTTTTTGCAGGCGGTTATTATTGCAGTAGTTTTCTGAAAATTAAAGTCTGAACTTTCGATTATGTTGAAATGAGTTTCTAATTCTGGAGCTGTAACAGGATGTACAAAGCAAAAGCATGTTTCAATGCCCATTAAACAAAAAATGGAGTTGCTGCAAAAAAATGGATAGAAGTATATCTATCTCAAAGTTATGTGAGGAATATGGCATTGAAAAGTCAACTATATATGACATAAGAAAACAGAAAAAAAACTTGTTGAATTTCTGACAAGGATGCCATTGATGGGTCCAGTGCTAGTGACTCATACCAAAATATTTCACAGAGATATGAAACTTAACTGAGTGCACGTATTCGACAAGTTGGTTAAGCAAATTTAAAAATCACCATGGTATAAGAACTGAAAATTTCAGGGGAAAAAGCTTTAGCTGATACTGAAAATGCTAAACTGTTTGCAGATGAATTCATTGAACTCATTAATAGTAAAAAGTTATCCCCAGAACAAATTTTCAGCATTGATGAGACTGGTCTTTTCTGGCAATATGCACTGTGAAATACCTTGGCAACCCTACAGAAAAGGTTCCCAACTGGTGTTAAAGATTTAAAGCGAGACTAACAGTTTTAGCATGCATGAATGCAAAGTGTAAACTTTTCATAATCAGAAAAAATGCATGACCTCGAGCATTTAAAAGAGTAAATATTTTCCCCATTATATATCTTGCAAATAAAACAGCATGGAGGATACAAGCATTAATGATTGATTGGTTTGAAAATCATTTCTTGTCCAAGGCTCAGCAACATTTGAATTCGATTGGTTTAGTTGATGACATAAAAATTATCCTGATTGTAGACAACTGTTTGGCTTACACTTCACAGTTTTAGTGAAAGATAGTGTGTCCATATTATTCTTTCCTCCAAACTGTACATCCATGATTCAGCCTACGGATATTGGAATAGTGTGCACTCTGAAATGCAAATATAAAGTAGCATTTTAAAAATCACTGTTAAATTTCTTGAATAATGGCAAGACTGATCAAGAATTTTTGAAATATTTTAGCATAAAGTGTGCTGAGTGGAGCATCACAAGATTGTAAGAGGATGTGTCTCTAGATACTTTAAAAAGTGCTTGTCGTAATTTATGGTTAGCTACCATATTTCATGGTGAGGATGATGGAAGGTGATAGGTGCAAATTTGAAGCTCATCAAATATCGCAAACCAAAAGGGAAGTTTTCCAATTAATGGATTTTGTAAAGAAATGTGAAGCGGTAATAAATGAAGATGATATAGCAGAAGTTTTTCATTGTAATGACAGTGCCCTAATCATCAGTCAATTAACGCATGGCAAAATCTGTAGTATGGTTCTAGATCCAGAAAATACCGCTACCGATAGTGAAGAAAGTGACAAAGAGGTTATTGAAAACGAAGAATTTCGATAGACTAGTGAGTCGGGAATTTTTGACACAGAAATTACAGGACTTGAATAGTGGAACTTTGTAACTGAACAAGAAATTATGTTTGTCTATAGAATTAAAGAGAAAGTATTAGCACAAAAATTGAAGCAACTTAAATAACTTAATTGAAAGAAAAAAATGTCAGTAAAGTAAACAAATGTGTGGCAATGTCACAGGCTCTTTTTTGTGTGTGTAAATTTTGATATCATTTAGATCATAACTGCCTGGTTATTTCATAAATCAGGATTTGATATTTTAAATTTCAACATGTCATCTTGCTAGATTTAAACTGATGATCTAATACCCAGAAAAATCCGAAATCACCGAAGTCCCGCTGAGTCCAGATTTCTGACTTTGTACTGTACTCAATATGTAGAATAGAGGTGGGTGGAATATATTTCTGATTGCACTCTGTATCGTCAGTTAAGGTATGCAGTTACAATGATAATAAATAATGCAAACTTCTGACATTCTTTCTCTTTAGTCCCTCAATACATGGATTTGGCGATTAGGATGCTGACCAAAAGCAGAATTTGTTAAAAGGGCACCATCACAACATTGATGCATGTGTATCATTAGATGCACCATTGTTGATGCTGAATCCTGTGTCAATGCAAGATAAGCCAAAGTAATGCTTGTCTTGCTGACAGTCTATAGCTGTACAGATGTAACACTGCTTATGAGGATGCTTAATGCTATGCAACATACCCAGTTTCTTTATCCAGCATATGTGATGTGACTGTGCATAATAATTATGTAGTCAAAATATCTGTTGTCTCAAACAGTAGTGAATGGTGCCATTGGGATCCTTCACATCGCTGTTCATTGCCCTCTTTGATTTATTCATTTCAGTTTCTTATATCAGTTATTGGAACTTTACTAATGCAAATAGCATTAGCACTGTTAATCTGCAGTCGTAGTAGGCTGTGACTTTGCCACACCTGAATTTTGATATATATGTGTTTGTATGAGTTCCTTCTTCATATATAAGACATGCAAAATCTTCAACACAAAGTTTGAATAAATATGATAATTTCTGAATTAAAAATCACCATTTTAATATGCTTTTTATACAGTTTTGAGGTGTCAGTACTCTTGTAATGTGTGCGTGTGCTAAAATTCTAGTTATGTGCATAACACAGTATATTCTATCTTTTGTGCTGCTTTCAATTTGTTCTGTGCTTCCTTCATGGTGTAGTAGTGTTATGGACTGTAATATATATATATACATTAACTTGTAAGTAAGTTGATTTTAATTTAAGCAGTATTGAATTCATACGTATATAATGAAGTATGCATTTTAATTAAAAATAATTTCTGACCGTTTGAATTCTATAATATAAATGCAGCTGCATTGATTAGAGAAAGTAAATATTCATAAAAAATTAAAAGTAGATAGATGCTTTTGTGATGCGATACCTAAAAGTATCCCCCCCCAAAAAAAAATTGCATGTGATTTCTGAAAACAGAGAATAATGTAGATTATTTTCGGTTCTTTGTTAAAGTGGCTATTGTATAAGTATTAAGCAGCATCTGAAATTTACACATTATTGGTTAAGTTTTCTAATTTTGGCAACTAAGTTTGGTGGCTTCTTTAACAAGGAAGTTTCTTATTTTTAGTATTTTTGTAGTTGATTTTTATTTATTTTTGTATATTAACTGAACTGATAACTGTTTTTGCTGTTTTGCTTGAAAAAATGTGAATAAACCCTTTATCATAAATTTACTTCTGCATATGTATTTTTACTGATACTTTTATCACTGTGCAATGCTAATTTTTTCATCTTTTCTAAATTAGCTGAAAAATATCCAAAGTATGATCCGATTGACAAAAGGAAATTTAGAAGCTTTAAATGCCAGGTTTGCAGAGTACCAACATCCACCATCAATGTATATAACTGTAAGTATTATCTTTTAATATATAAATGTAGTGCCTGAAAGTATTTCAAAATGTCTCTTTTTTAATTTGTCTCTTAGAGAAAGATAAAACTACATAACTAGTGTGAAGAAACTTTAAATATATAATTGTTGTGATTAGTTTTTCCCCCCCATTAACTGATTTTCAGAGTTGCCAATTCTTCCGATTTCTGACCATGTGCCCACCAAACTGATTTATATATTTCTCAAAACTTTATCTTATTTTTAAAATTTCTCATGATTTTTATGTAGCGTGGTTTAATGTTTCATTATTTGCATCACAAAAAAGTGATTTTGGGCATCTGAAAATGCTTTTTTTTCCCTCTAGATACATATACAGTACAAAGTCTGTAATCCGGACTCGTCGGGACTTCGGCGATTCCGGATTATAGATCATCAATTTAAATCTGGTAAGATGGCATGCAGAAATTATACAATTAAAAATATGAAACTGTAATTTATGAAATAAAGAGCAACTATGATATATCTTATGATATAAAGGGTATCAAATTTTACAAAAAAAAAAAAAAAAAAAAGCTTAATATTTATTTGTTTACTTTATTAAACATTTCTTTCAACGCGCGCATGCGTAATGTATGCACATTCTTTAGCGCATGCGTAAAGTTTGTGGCTTTGAGGTCCAGATTATAGATCATTTCGGATAATGGACGTCCGGATTACGGACTTTGTACTGTACAAGAAAACCGAAGTCGTTTCATCAGTAAGATACGGTGTGTTCTGCTTTGTGTGTGAGAGTCCGAAAACATAGTGTGCCAATGAGAATGAAGTGCCACTGCGGATCATCTCCCATATAGCCAATAAGCACAAAGGAGGCTCGAGGATTTTAATTTTATTCATCTCGCTAGTGAGCAGCATAAGTTTCACATCCTTCGCAGAAACAATTTTAGAAACTGCTATCTTTTCTCTGCAAAAAATGTAAAATACTCATATACTTTTCAAAAATCGTACATAGATGACTTCTGTTATTTCATCAAGGAAATGTAATATTGTTATGTGTACCATTTGTCCTTTGTCATTGCAGTTTTTCGATTTCGCGCAATGGAAGAGCCGTTGTTCTTAAAAATGTGTGCACACAAGGACAACATAAGTTGTACTGGGAAGAAAAATTAAATTTTTCTGTGGAAATAAAGGATCAAAAAGCTATTAATGTAGAATGCATGTTCTCTGTCTTTTTACTGGAGCAGAACCTGCCACTGAATGCAGCAGATCTTGCTGCAGTTTTTTTAGAAAAATGTTTCCCGGCAGTAAAATTGTTTAGAAATACTGAAATGCAAGGATAATAAAGGCTGCAAAAAATGTGTTCAAAGGATAGGTATAAAAATATATCTTTAGTTATTAAATGGATTAAAACAGTTTTCCATTTTGCCTCTCTATGGATGGAAGCAGTAATACCGATGCAAAACTCTATCCAGTTGTTTCTTTTTAGTCCTAGGGATTTGAGTCCTGAAGGACTATTACTTTCGTTTTGGCATTTGGCGTCGGATTCCTATAAATGTTAGTTCACTTTTCAAATTATTGCCACAAAATGTTCCTGCATTATATTTGAAGAAATTAAATAATGAAAAATCTGCATAAAGGTATGTATATTTCTCTCATTGTGATAAAATAGTGGTATCTAGAGCCATCCAATTTTTAACGACGTAATCTTACTGCGAATATGGGCATCTGAACTCCCAATTTTGGAATTTGTTTTTTATCGATTTCATATTTTCTAAAACTTTAACGAATTTTTGAGTAACAAACTCAATGATTTAAAAGCGAGCAATGGCAACACTCTATGGGGGGAAAAAAACTTTTCATCTCCAGCACGTCGAACTGTGTATAAAAAATTCTACTAAAGATATGCTCATTTTAAAATTATTTTGCGACATTGCTATTGAACTAAATTTTGGGTTTAAGTGCAAAGAACATGCTATTTAATAAATAAATGTAGCACACAAAACGTTAAAAAAACGCCCCTTTAAAGACGCAATTTAAAATCTGAAACATTTAAGTTTTTTTTTTTTTAAAATCCAGAATCGTCAGAAATTGAGTGTAGTTTACTTTCTCCGCTCACTTTAGAAGGAGATTAGACAGGCTTTAACCTTCTGAGCAGCGCAGGATTTTAGATCCGGCATGAAGACTGGTATTTAAACAGCATTTATTAATTGAGTTTGTAAGTCTGTATTTTCATAAACTTGCATTCAAGGCTTCTACCATTGTCACATCAGATGGCATCTCTATCACTATAATAATTAAATATGTGTGATAAATACTGTGACTATTTTACATGTGTTTAGCTGTGTAATGTAGATACAAGCCGTTTTCCTTTAAAAAAGTCCTCCATGAAGGCATCTCTCCCCATAGGAAGATACTCCTCGAATTGCTTTGCCTCAGTTAAACAATTAACCTAAGTTGCCTTCATTTGTATAACCCATTTAATAAATAATGTGTAGCCCAGAAAATATAGTAGTTATTGATGTTCCAGTGGGTCTGGGTTTGAAACCAAGAGAAGACATTGATATTTGTAAATACACAAACACTGTGCAGTATTGAGGCACTAAAAATACATGGTGAGCCTAAAACATTTTTGAGTGACTTGGTGGTAAGGGAAGATAGGTGGGAGACGACTTATTCCCTGGGATGTTAGATGTTATCAGGACAGAGCTGGGAAGTCTAAATGTCATCTGTATAATTCTTAAGGCCCATACTAATGGCAGACATAATCTTGTGCTCCTTGCAACTATAAAATTTGTGGACCCAGCATATTTCATGGCGATTGAAAAAAGGTCTTCTGTTGTCTGAAACAGGTGGCTGAAATAATGGTATATGTTGCTCATGCTGTCTAGTTTATTGCCGTATTCATTAAATTACATTTACTGAGGAATTTATAAGTGGTAGAGTAGTTTCAATCTTTTGCTTGTCAGTCTTGATTCCATTTTATTTGATGGAATAAATATACTGTTTGGTTTAAACTTTAATAATTTAGGTACTCCAGGCTGTAACATTCTTACCATTAACCAGAAGTATGTTTATTTATTTTAACATAATTTTTTAAGTTTTTTGTTGGGCTTTTCTTTTATTCCTTTCTTTAGTTTGCTAGTTTCACAGGCATTTTAAACATGAGAAATAAAAGACTGCATTTTTTACAATGAGATAGTTGTGTAAGTTCTCATATATTCACAAACTTGCCAGCTTCAGTACTTTCTTCAGGTTAAAAATAATTGTGTACTTTAATTGTAATTATTACTGATGCTGACGCAATAGCCAGCCGAAGACTAACCTTCCAAACAAGCAAGAAGAATTCCATTCCTGCACTAAATTGTAACCCTGTCATTTCCACTACCATAGCCAGACTGAGGACAAAACACTTGAAAGGAATGAAAATATGCTTTGATGGTCCATGGAATTATAATAGCTGTCCTCACTGTATTGATATCGAACTTTCTCCAAACCATCTCTTCGACTGTCCTATTATTTTGGCCAAGCTCTTCAGTATTAATATAGCTCTCTCGCACCAACTTCTCTTATTCTTGAAAATTATTGATGTTGCTGCGGCTGCTCTGGATATTTTTGGCCCTATTTGTCTCCTTTGCACTGATGCCTTGGACAAGACAGCAACACCAACAATTGTAATTATAGTCAAATTAATATCCTTATAAAAATGTAATAACTTTCATATGTGTATAAAACTTTTGCTTGCATTGGTCTACTCCAGGGTCAGCAACTTTCGGCCCACAGGATTATTTTTAAATATGAAAAATAAGTTATGTCCTATTACATAATGGATGATAGTCGAGTTAAAAGTTGTAAATAATGGTCACTACTGTCATATTCTCTAGTTTTTCGTTGTTTTCCAAAGTGAACACGTGAATGCTTGTGCATTATCATCTATGGAAATTAGCATTTGCCACAAAATGTCATGGGGCATTTCGATGAATAAGAAGTCGTTACTTGAGGAAAGAATGTAATAAATGAAATAACAAATAGCTGTGTTACCGTTCCCTATGAGTAGGCTACATGGACAAGAAGACATTTGAGGAAAGCTATATCACTCAACATCAGAGGCTAGGATCAGTGGTCTTAGCGAACATGAAGTCGCAAAGAATTCAAGCATGCTTTATGGCGAAGCTTCATATGGCTGTATCAACACAGGCCAATGAATTAGAAACCTTTGAGATTTTCATTTGAACGAGTGCTAGGGTTGAAGTATGCAAATTGTTTTATGATGTGGGTTACAGCGTGGTTAGAATGCTAGTGTAAGTTAACGTGTAAGAGTACTTTTCATAATGAATGAAGTAAAATGGAAAAAACAGCAGATCTTTCACCTTTTGAAAAAGGGCTTATTGTTGGTGCCCATTTACCAGGGTGCTCGATTTCGAAGACAGCAAATTTCGCTGGGTTCTCAAAAAGAAGCCATATCAAAGGTTTTCAGAATTTGGAGTCGAAACCCACACTCCTTCTCTAGAAGATATAACTGCGTTCTGAGCACAGTTTTCCAAGAAATTGAATGGCAGAACAGGAACTCTACTGTATTTCAACTGACACAGATTGTCAACCAATGCTCTTCCCAACAGATTTCATCTTGAACCATGTGCAGAGGGTAGGAATGCATAGTTGGGTACCTGTGAGAAAAACCACTTGCTTCTGCCCAACATGCAAAAATTTGTTTGAAGTGGTGTCGAAAAAGAAGACACTGGACATCTGAGCATTGGAAATGGGTAATGTGGTTGGATGAATCATGCTACACCTTATATTGCACTAATTGAAGACGTCGAATTTGGCGAGAACCCCATAAAGCCATGAATTCTCCCTGCCTTACTCGCACTGTGCAAATATCTGATGTGAGTTGAGTAGCAAATTATGTGGCATATTCTGCTGGCATAGAAGTGGTGCCCTGGTGTTCATGGAGGGTAAGCAAACAGCCATGAGAAACCTAGATGTACTGGCAGATCAAGTGCACCCTGCAGTGTTCCTTTTTTTATTTGATGGCAACAGATACTTAATGGATGATAATGCAACTATACATCATGCCTGAAGTGTTCAAAATTGGTTCGCTGAACATCAGTCTGACTTCCAACACCTTCCCTGGCCACCGCATAGCCCGGATCTTAACCCATAGAAATTTTGTGGGATATGGTGGAAAGTCGCATCTGACAACACTTCCCTCTTCCATCTAATTTACAAGATCTAAAAAGCTGCATAGCTAGTGCATGGTATTCTCTGGACATAAATGCACTCCAGAAGCATATAGACTCAATGCCCAAACAAATCAGAGCAGTTATCCATGCAAAAGGTGGTTCAGTAAAATATTAATCTTGGTCTTCTAATTCATTGGCCAGTATGTGTATGTGAAATGTATTCTGTCATACAGGCATATCGCCAAAAATATGCATTGTTTGAAACATGAATAACATTAAACAAATTTGTCTATTTTGTATGCTGTAAGAACTTTCAAATATTAGTAAAATCTCTGTTCCCACAAAAATTTGTGCAGGATTTATTGTAGCATGCTTAACATTTGAATGCCAGTGTAACTTCTTCCCTGCATCATTTGTGGGTATCACATTCCTAATAATGTTCTGTATAAGTATAATTTCATTTTCATAAAGCACTTTTTGTGCATTTTTATTTCCTTCTTTGATGTAAAGGAAGTAACGAATTATAAAACTGATTTTAAATGGATTCAGAAGAGATTTTTTTGTGGCACCTGTATGCACATTCATATGTATCTGGCGTAACTAAAAAATGAGTTGCTTCAGAACATTGAAATTTTGTATATAGGACTGTTAGAACATGTAGTTGTGCACCTCTCTGTTTGGTTGCAATCGGCTGCACAAAAAGTATATAAATATATATATGCCTACTCTGTTACTCGGCTCAATGAGCTAAGTTTTTTTATTATATGTTGGTAAATTGTGCATTTTGTGCTTTAAAAATGATTTAATTATGTTGTTCTTATCTTCCGGTAAAGGTTTTTATGCCTTTAGTTTATCTGCATGCATTATCAACATGGAATTATCGACAATTTAAATGTTGTTTCATTGCAGCTAAGCCTTTTTTTTTTTTTTTTTTTTTTTGCCATATCAGCCATATTTGTTTACATTTAAAACTTAGCAGGATAGTGAATTAATTCTTTCTGCACCTTCAATGCCTTTTTGGCGAGTGGAACCAAAAGGAAACTTTTAGTTTTGAGCTTGTTTGTTTTAGTTTGTGTTTTCTATATCTTTCAATTTTTAATGAAAATATTTTGAGTTTTTATGTATTTTTGTCTTGTGTGAAGTGAGAACTGAATTAGTTGAAAGAGAAATATATCTCTGATGAAATTCGAAGTAATAAATTTAAAGGAAATGCAGGAAAAAATGCATATAATTTAATATTCCCTACAAGGAGGTCACGTGATGCACACATCGTCTTTTTTTATTGAAAATGTTTGTTTCATTTTTAAATGTTGCATTATTTAAATATAATTTCCATTTATTCCAGGAATATGAAGATCTGACAAGTAAATTAAATGAATTTCAAATTCAAGAACAAAGGTTACTAGAAAAGATAGGCAATGACTGTGATGGAAGGGATTCACCAGAATTTCTGGATGATGGTGATGAAGCCAAATTGTATAGTGATTCATTCCTTACTGGAATGCAACTTACCTCTAATAATAGTCAAACCAATTTTACTGGTAATATAATTTTATTGAAATATTTTTATTTTTTAAATCTATAAAGTGCATTTATGCATATTGTAATGTTATGTATATTGTCCATGTGCAATGAATTTCTTATTCATTACACAGAGACAGTAAATTTGTTTGAGAAATTTTAAAATATTGTTGAAGAGTTTTTTTCCCCCTCCCTTAATGAATTATTGTTCAAGCGAGTAAGTATTTTATACTTCAGAAGTAAACTAGTATGTAAGTATATAATGTGTAGGTAAATGATTTAAGGAGTTTTCACTTGTTTATTTTGCATATGTATTATATCTTCATAAGCTCCAGAGCCTGTTACAGGCCAAGGCTGTCTCTCCAAGTTTCCTCCACCTGACCCCATTTGGCGCAATAGCCCTCCATTGGTTAACTCCAGTTAACCTTAAATCCTCTTCGACATCATCTAACCATCTAATGGGTGGTGTTCCTCTTTGTCTTATTCCCTCATTTCTCAAAAAGCTTACCTTTTTGTTTGGAAATGCATCATCATCATACATAGCCCAGCCATCTGATACGAGATGCCTTTACAATACTCATAATATCAGTGTCACCATATTTCTTATATTTTCCGTATAATTCAGGTTTACAGAGAATCCTCCACATGCCATTTTGTTGTACCCATCCAAATATCTTTCTTAGAATTTTTCTTTCAAAAGTTGATATCAGGTCTTTCTCTGCTCTGTTAAGTATCCAACATTCACTTCCGTAAATAGCACTTATTAAAGTTTGTATAAATTTCATTTAGTTTTTTGTTGATTAGTTTGGATTAAGTTGGTTTAAGGCGTAGTAACATCTATTAGCCATAAATATTCTATTCTTTATTTCAATTTTTATATCATTGAAACTTGTGATCAGTGTGCCCAGATATTTAAATTGTTTTACGGTTTGAAAAGTATAACTGTTTATCTTCAAGGGGGATAAATCAACAGTTTTATTAGAGGCTATCATATATTCTGTTTCGTCTTCATTAATGATTACACCCTTCTTTCGTGCTGCATTTTCAAGTGAAATAAAAGCCTCGACCACAGCTCATTTTGATCACCCAGTGGTATATATATTATATATATTCACATAAAAATAAGTATATATGTGCATAAAATATTATCAGTAAATATTTTATATGAAATTCCTTATCACTAGGTGCACATCCAAATCATAATCTCTTTTTTTACCATGTTCTGGCAATATGTCTTTTGATGGTCTTTGTAGCTGCAACTGTTCTTTGTTTCATTTTATTTGTACTGATAGCTAAAGGCAATTGCTTTGCCCTCTTTTTTTTTTTTTTTTATCCTAATGGGAATACTTACAGAAGTGAAAATCAACAGCATCTTGCCCTAATAGTACTTAGCCAGTGCCAGATGTCTAGAAGAAAATGATCTGGAGTTAGCTTTAATGCTTTATTTGTGTGATGAAACAGTTTCAAACATATCAGGGTTAGAATTACACATCACTAGAAAAGACTGTTTAAAAAGGAGGGGGAGATTTGTAAATTTCTTATTTAGTCGATGTATAGAAAAGATGAATAATGCATATGCATTGGCCACATTTTCCTGTTTCCCAAATAGGGTTATTATGCCTGTGTACTATTTACTGCTCAGATGAAATGCTGTCTTGTTGTTGAAGGAGCATAATTTATTGAGAGAGAAAAAAGAATATTTTAATGCAATCCATTATAAATAAACAAGTTTTGCTTATTTTAAAATGAATATTGGACAGCTCTTGACTATAGTTATACATAACTGAGTCTAAATTTGCAGTTTGAATTTTGATTTAAAAATGAAATACAGTGTTCTAGATTGGCACGTTTGAACCTTAGTAAAATAGGAGTCATTGTAGAAGATCCTTCTGCTTTGACAGCTAAAACTGAAATGAATAGTTCAATGAAGTTCTCATTCTTATATCCTTTCCTGCAGGGTTGCTTGACATTTTTAAACTCTAGTAAAACAGGAGCTTTTGTAGATGATCTGTCTGCTTCATTAGCTGGTACTGGAATGAAAAGCTCAACCAAATTTTTCCCCTGTAGTTGTTTCTTGCAGGGCTGCTTAGCATTAATTTCATTTTTAATGTGTCTTTAACAGTGTAGGTCTTCTTTGAAATTTATATTTTTTTAAACAACCTAAAATATAACACAAAATTTGAAAAATTCACTTACTGTCCGTTTTCTGCTAAATAAGTTCTGAAAGATTTGTAGCAGAATCTTAATTCTTATCTTAAACTGGAGCTAAATATTACCTTTATTCTGTGAATCTAAAACTTCTTATGTTAAATAATAATTGTAACAATGTTAATATAATTGAAGTTCACATAATTAAGATCCACAAGAACATACATATAAACTTTTGTATCTGTATCCTCATTACTTTCTTTTAAGTCTTAAAGGAAAGTAGGAAATCAGAAATGTTAAAGTTTAAAGATTAAATTTTTATTATACATCGTGAAATGTGCGTTAGAAGCATTTAAAATGTGCTTGCTGCATATGTTCGACTTTTTAGATTTATAAAATGCTCTTTGCTTTCTTATTCTTATTATTTCTTATTATTAAAGACCTATGGCCCTTTAGTGTTGAAAACTTCAATTTAAAATCTGCTCTTTTCACACATTTGTAATCAGATTGTAAAGAAAAGTGACAGAAAAATTCCTAGTCTTAAAATCAAGAGTTTTCATTGTGGTGATTTGACCAGCCAATCCTTAATTTAAAATCACCCTTGCCTCATTTATTGCAATATCAGCTACAATTTTACAACAACAAGATGTTTCTGTCAGATATTCCCATACTATGGAAACCACTTTTTAAATAATTTAGTTTTCTATCCAGACATTTATTTTAATAATTTAGTAGCTGAGAGCTCGACAGTAATAGATTTTATCTCATTCATTTTAGTATTAGGCACAGCATTTTCCCGTTTTTATGAAAAACAAGTAACCATCACTTTATTGTACTGGCACCATGCATATCTCTTACTGGACAGAAATCATGCATGGGTCAATCATCACTAGATCTGTAATGATAATTAATGGCTTTTTTAGCTTTACACATAATTTTGACATACCTGTTATTTTATCAAACAGTATTCCAGCAACATAGTAAAATTATCGGCATGAAAAGGACAAAATAGGGTCAAGGCAACAGAATAGAAAGACCTGTTCCACTTCATTTCGCAGCAAACCTTCTCTCTCAGCATTACTAAGCAGGCATTCTCTTTCTTGAGGTAGTAGCTGTTGATCCAGTTATAAATAAAATTTGAAGCTCTCTGCTGATTGCCAAAGCGTTCCATCTTCACAAAAAAATTTAATTATTAGGTACTTATGCTTAGATAAGCTTCATATAACACAATATGATTTAGGCAACTGTTATGAAGGCCAGTGATAATTTTAGCTGCACTGAGTTGAACTCTTTTTAACTTCTCAAGTTACTGAATGAGACAGCCTGATAAAGAATACCATATTTCAGAACTGGGCAAATAAGAGTAGTATACATAGACCTTAAAGTCTATGCATCAGCATCCCAATCCCTGCCATAGGTAAGCTTTAAGATTTTAAGCCTCTTTTTACATTTAAAAAAAAAAAGTCAAATTAGCATGCCACAGAGGCATAAAATTTCTTGTTCCAGGGAAAAACCAAGGTATTTAAGATGCTTATCATAGTTTTCTTTCTTTCTGAAAAGAAGGTATCCAGTTGCAGTTGTACATGCTCTCTTCCCCCCCCCCCGAAAAAAATGGATAGTTCTGTATCTCCTACTTTGCTAGGCTATTCAGATTGCATTTTCCACGTATCTAAAAGGGGACTTAGGATATATACAGGGTGGTTGTAAAAAGTAACCTCCCCAAAATATGAACCGTAAGCAGTCTTTCAACTAAATCATTCGAAATGAAATTTCAGATGTTGTTATTTGAAGGCATGTGCTCAAGATTGTAATGACAGACAAAGTAGACAGATGACTTGTTTTGCGCCTGCTAAGTCTTCTCCACTGCTGGGCGAAAAATCAAGCTTAGGTGCAAAGGAAAGGTATATAGAAAAGGGGCAGTTTCATATTTCAGAGGAGAGTAAAAAGGAACTTCATGTATTTTATATAAGTTCAAAAGGCCAGGAAGAAAAGATGGGACAAAATAAAATTAAAATAAATGGCCCAAAAGTAATGGAGAGAAAATAAATAATAATTTAAAAAAAAAAAAAAAGACCTACAGAAATAGAAGGAAAAGAAGTAAAAATTTTCTAAAATAGGATTGTCTCCATGAGTGTAGTTAAAAGGGGAGCAAGCTGTGTTCATTTACAATGAATTGTGCCTCCCAGGTGTGCGTAGTGAGCGTGTTTGGTAAAGCTGAGTAGATGGGGAAAAAAAAAGGTTTGGGGTCCAGTTACATAACAGTTTAAGTCTAGTTAAGAAGCTAGCTAAGACGGGAAAGTAAAATTAGAAATTTTTTTTTAAAAAAGTACTAACATGGGAAACTAGGCAATATATTTGCCTTCACCTTGAGACAGAACAACAAATTAACTATTACCGTTCCCAGTATATTCATACATTTTTCAGAAAACAGCATCAGACAAAATCACAAATCCATAAACAGTGCGACAGCACATCAGCAAAAATAAATGCATTACAGAGTTTATTTTACTATTAATTATTTTTTTTATTAATTTAACATATTTGTACTGGTTTAAAAAACTGAGGCACACTGTATTAACATGTGCTCATAATTCTAAGAGATATATTCAAGGAAATAATTATCCTTATCTCTCATTTGTGAACTGAAAAACGTCGGAGATCAAAGTAGCAAAAACTGCTATCTTATATATTCATCGATGCCCAAGATCCCTATTTTCCCTCTCAAGAAATTCCTCAAATCAAGACAACAAAGGCCTGATGTGTATTGCTGATTAATGACAGCTGCTGAGAAGGGTGGTAGCCTCTGTATGGAATAGTTACGAGAAAGGAATCACTTGATTAAAATCAAGTACTAGCTATTGTTTAATACCAGAAACTTATGAATATAATAAATAAATGAATTTAAAGGCATTTTAGCAATAGAGATTTGATTTAGTTTAGAGAAAAGAAGGATATTTATCTGAATATTCCTTTTGATGGGAACTTAAACCTTAAATAAAACCTTCCATTAGATGGAAGAGACCTTGCAGAAGAAAAGCGCAAAAAGTTATTTAGGGAAGGGAAAATTTTCTGGAACATACATTTAAAAATTTCGGAGCTCTGCTAAGATGCTGCCTCCATCGTTCATGATCGCAGCGCTGTCAGATTCTAATGATTTGAAATAGTGGAGCTGTCACAGTTATAGTTACCATGAAATAAAGAAATTTCAAAATTTTCAAATGGCAACAGTCACTTTTTTCGTGGTCAAATTCATCAGTGCATTGAAAAACCATAAATCGCATTGGAAAGATACACCTACGATGAAAATTGCCGGCATAAAACATTTGAAAAAAAAAAAAAAAAAAAAAAGAGCACTGTAAAAGACCAGTGGCAACACAAGAGAGGAGAGGGGAGAAATAATTATTGAAATTACAAGTTTTACATGTGCCCAACTTCAACTTCACGGGCAATACTGCATTGCATTCGGGACTTTGAAAAATTGCATTTGGTTCGTAAATTGGTAAAAGTGTCCTGTTTCACAAAAGGGAGAAGTGAATTGACGGTGAGTTATATAATGTACAAAGTGAAATTTATAATGTAAATAATGTCACATGTATCATTTTAATTTGAAATGCCATGTTAACAATTAATGAAGTTGCTGGAGTAATTTTAAAAAGACCAAACTTTGGCATTTTAACTAGCTTGTATTTAATTCTTGCAATAGTTAACTAGTAGAGTTAAGAAAATGAGAGTTTTCTGCTGTTGTCAAAAATATTATGTTTGTCATAATAAATTAGTTTTGAATAATAGCTTTTGAATAATAGCTTTATTATTCAAAAATTAGTTTTTGAATAATAGCTTGCACAACTGCATATTAATTATACTACATATATTGTTAATGCATATGCAATAATAATACAGGTAGCACTGCTGCTGATACAAGTCCTCGTATTTCTCCAAGGTCGCCTTTAAAGTCTGTAGTCAGAGCTTTTTTACCCAATCAACAACGTACAACAGTAAGTATTATGTTTCTCTTTTATATGGAAATACTGAATAAATAGTAATTAAAAATATTTAAAATAAGTTTTTGGATTGTTTGGCATGTGTATTTTATTTTAACATGCTTCAGGACTATGCAGTTATTTTCCTATGTGAATTTTTTATTTCCTATATCTGCTTTTAAAAATTGTTGAATGTAATTAATAATACTTAATAGAAATGTTTAGAAGTACATGCTTTTAATTTCTGTATTGTATTGAATTATACAAAAGTCATCATTGCAGTTCATATTGTTTGAAAATAAGATGCCAAATTGTCATTAATGACATTGATTTAAAGCCTTCCAAGAACGTCAGTTATGTGCCCTCAAAAGAAATAATAATGTCTTATATGGTACAAAAGTCCAAGATCTGGACTCGTCGGGAATTCGGCGACTCCAAATTTGGGATTTTTCCGGATATTAGATCATCAAGATGGCATGTACAAATTTTAAAAATTTAAATATGAAATTGTGATTTATGAAGCATTTATGATCTAGAGGGTGTCAAAATTTCCAAAAAGAAAAAGGCTAAATATTTATTTGTTTACTTTATTAAATATTTCTTTCAATGTAAAAGTTGTTTTTAGTTGCTTCCTTTTTTTGTGTGTGTGTATGCCAATACTTTCTCTTCAATTCTATAGCCAAGCATTATTCCTTGTTCAGTTACAATGTTCCATTTTTTTTCAAGTCCTGTAATTGCTGTGTTGAGAGTTCTCACTAACTTATCAGTCAAAATATTTTCATTTTCAGTAACCTCTCTGTCACTTTCTTCAGGCTCGGTAGTTTGTAAAGTAGAATTTTAGCTTAGCTTAATAACGTCCGCTATATGTTATTGGCTATGTGTCATGAGGTTGGTAATGAAAAACAAGTTCTTCTGCTAAATTTTTATTGCTTCTATCGCGCACTAAAGCAGTTAAGCTTGAATTGTATTCATTTATTTATTATGTCAGTTTTTTGCATATGCTTAAGGCTTATCCGAGTCCTGGATAAATAAATTCACATGGCTTGTCAATGAATGGCGCTGCCTGGTGCAGTCTCTGGGGGTCCTAAATTCTGCTACCAGGCACCTCCATAAGTTCTAAATTTTTCCCGCCCCTAATTTTTGGGTCCCAGTGCTTTCACTAAATTAAAAAAAAATTTTTATCCATTAATTTTGCTGCTCATTGCTACTCTAAATTCCAAAAATTTTGTCTCTCCTAAATTCTGCCACCCAGTGCGGCCATATGAGCTATGACGGCAGTTCTGGGTTTATATGAAGAACAAATCAGTTATTCTTAATTCAAATAGCACTAAATGTAATCTTTTGGTCTATGAGTATCATTAACAAAGTCTTGTTTTTATCATATAAAAAGAAGTTTTTGTTAAATTTTTTCTTGACAACATTTCTTAGTGCATTTAACTTAAATCTCTAATCATCGCCATGCATAATGTCAACATAAAAGGTTACTATACTTTTTACTGTTCAATTAATAATATAAAAAATTATTTAGGCATCGCTGCTTGAGTCATTACTCAAGTTACCGTGTTGATAAAAATGTGGTTGATGAAAGTCAAATATAATAATGATTCACCAGGTTGCTGCCAGGGATTTAAAACAGTAGTGTAAAATCAATGACAGAAAATATTGTATGTGATTACCAGTGTGGTTTCTGTAAAGGAAGATCTACAGCAGAACAAATCTTTAACATTAGGCAAATTTTAGAAAAAACTAATGAATATGGCATTGCAATGCACCACCTTTTTGTTGATTTTCAGACTGCCTATGATTCAGTAAACAGAAAATATTTAATTGAAGCTATGAGAGTATTTGCAATACCTGAAAAACTTATAAATTTGGTCACCATCACTCTTACTGAGACAAAACTTAGGGTTAAAATCATCAAGAATAATCTTTCTTAGCGTATTGTTGTTTCAAATGGGCTCAGACAGAGTGATGCTCTGGCCTGCTTGCTTTTTAACCTTGCCCTCCAAAAAATCATAAAAGATTCCAACATTAATAGTCATGGAACTATCTTTAACAAGTCTGTTTAGATTTTTCTGTTTGCTAATGATATTGACATAGTCGCATGCACTCCCGAATCACTTAGAGAGGCTTTTACATCTCTAGAGGCTGCAGCCAGCAAAATGCATCTAGCAATCAAACAAAATAAAACTGAATACATGCCATGTGGTAATAACAGCAGCCCCTATTTTGAAATTGAGAATTAAAAATTTGAAACTGTTGGCAAATTTAAATATTCAGGATCAGAAGTTAATACTCTCAATGATTTAATGCCTGAGATCCAGTGTTACTACAGTGAGATCTGTAGTAGAGTCACAGATGCTAACTGATGTTTTTTCGGTCTCAAAAAATACTTTTAACTTCACTAGCAGAAAAATGAAGATTTTAATTTATGAAAGCTTAATCAGACCCATTGTTACATACTGTGCTGAGACCTGGGCAATAACAGAAAAAGCTAAAAGTATCATTTCTGTCTTTAAAAGAAAATTTTTGAGAAATATTTTTGGTGGCATAAAATGTAACAATATCTGGAGAAGAACTAACTCTATAAATCCTTTGAAGAAATAGATATAGTAAAATATATAAGGATTCAGAGAATTAAATGGACAGGACACCTGTGCAGAATAGATGAAAATCGAGTAACTAAAAAAATCTTCTCGGCCAGACCATTCGGCACCCGAAAAAGAGGGAGACCTAAACTTAGGTTTGAAATGTATGCCAAGCAGATAAGCAGCTCCAGAGCCAAACTATTGGTCAGACAAATTTATGCTAAAATGATTGTTTCTTGAATAACCAGGTATTTTATTTAGTGCCAAAGTGAAATTAAGAATTGGCAGTCTCCACATTTTTTATTATAAGAAAAAATATCAAATGTGCATGCGGTAAATCATAGGGAAAAAATTCTTAAAAAAAAAAAGTGTTGGTGGCTTTGAAGTTCAGATTTTTTATCATTTCGGATATTGAATGTGAGGATCTATGACTTTGTAATGCACTAGTTATCAAAATTAATTTTTTTCTAAGTGTATGATGTTCTCCATCTGTATGCAATATATCAAATATTGTTATGCACAGTCATTCAGAAGTTGTAAACTTTAATTGAAAATCCTTGTTTATGGATTTTATGGATTTTTTAAAAGCTTGAGACAGTTTTTATGCATTTTAGATATCTAACAGGGCAATGAAATTTTTGAATGGTTAAACTTTAATTCAAAATGATTGATTGGAATGCTTTATGATTGTAAATGAGGCATTTAGAGGAAAGGCATTTGAAAAAAAGGTGGCTGGATCATTAATTGATCTGATTCGAATGGAGGGAAGAGAATTGTGATGCCAAAGGACTGATTGCTTCTGTAAAGGATTTTTTTTTTTTTTTTAAAGAAAAATTCACTTGTTTTAATTGTATGTTTGGGGGATCCTCCTCGAGTTTTCTGTGTGGGAGTAGCAGGAAAAAACTATGGTATTGAAATGTGGTTTGTCAGTTTGTGGAATTGCTGTGTATGCTAGTGTGATTAATAGGAATTCAAAGAAAGTTGCCATTCTTCATTTGGCCTTTGCTATGTTTCTTAGAACATTAAGCAGAGTAAAATTTCAGTCTCTGTGGAGCGGCTGAGACAGGGATAGCCTCACAGGTCATGAGGTGTGAAATTAGCCTCACAGGTCGTTGGGTGATGATGCAATGAAATTTATTCTTTGAAGAAGGCATGTATGTACATCCCCCAAACACACTAGAGAAAAATCCACAAAACTGCATACAACCGATCTGTTCAGTTCTCTTATCAATAAAAATTTTCAGGTTCTTCTCCTATGTCTTTGAAGAATTGAGATGAACTACAGTGCTTCATGGCTTTAGTACTTGTGTGCTGATGGAATTTAGAAAAGGAAATGAAAGAGATATTTATGAAAAGGCATAGGATGTTCTTTCATTTATTTCTCTTCATGAGTAACCAAAATGTATTATTGAATCTTTGAATGTTTAATCGTGTTTCAGAGTTATGCATTTTGGCTCCTCAAATATATGTAGTCACATCAAAAATTTTTGTGTAACTGTGAATCAGCATGATTAATTATTCACACTTCTGTTTTTCCCTTCCCAGGTACAGGTAAGGCCAGGACAGACAGTGAGAGATGCATTGTATAAAGCTATGAGACGACGAAAACTCACAGCAGATATGTGTGTTGTTTATAGGTGTAATGGAAAGTAAGTGGAAATTGTATTAAATATTTTGTAAATGTGTAGATGTTTTTATTTGATACTATTTGCAGATATTTATTTATTATAATAATAATTATAATTAAGTATTATTTATTACAATACATAATTATTATGTTTATTATTCGGAAAGTAACCTTTGCTACTGCAGTATGGAAAAATATTGATGGGTTGTTTTTTTCTGTTTTAATTACATAGGAAATGTACTTAGACTATTTTTCCACATAATCTCCAAAATTTAAGAGATAGAGTCATTTGTCAAAATGGGAAGCAAATTTTTCTATTCCTTCATAATAGGCAGTTGCTGCTGCCTGTGAGTTAATTTTTCATCATATCCTTATTAGTGTAGAAGTATCGTATTCTAGCAACATCATCATTCTCATGAAGAAATAGACCACTAGGGGCAAGACCAGGACTGTAAGGAGGATGCTGAAACAGATTCTAGTGAAGCTTTTGAAGCAATGTTTGTGCTTGGTGAATTGTGCATGGGTGTCCATTGACATAAAAAACGTGCCATGATGGAAATGTTCTCTTGATTTCCCCCTCCCTTCCCGAATTCCAGCGCAAAATTTTCCAAAAGTTTGAAAGTATGTGAATGTGTGAAAATATGTTATCGCAGTTCCAGATCCCATGAATTTGACAAAGAGTAAAATTTCCGATCTCAAAATATCATTTTCATTGTTTTTCTATTCAAGAAAGTTTATTTAAATATCCATGGTTTGTTCAGAGAATTCATGTGTATGTATTGGCTAGACAGTTCCCCTCCCCCTGTTTGAATATTGAAAAATTTCATCCAGTTAGAATTTTTAATAGTCACTTTCTTGAGCAAAAAGGATATTTCCTTGGAGTGATACTAACTTTAAAATATCAAAATTGTTCACTTTCCAATGGTTTTGTGCATTTTGGCTACCATTTTTCAAAATGAGACCATGTTACATAAGTGTATTATAAATACCTAACAGAGTTAACTTGAAGTGGTTAAACTTTTAACCAAAACTACTGATTCAATACCTTTATGCATAGAGTGTTTATGCATTTTTAGAATGACTTCAGTGCCATTTAATTAATCTTTAAAAGATAAAAGGTATTTTTTAAATGTTTGACCTGGTGACTTTTTTTTTTTTTTTTTCCTGTACTGTATACATTGTGATTTCCGTGAGAGAAAGGCTTTTCATAAAATTCTATTGATTTCTTTTCTTCTTCCTCTACTTTCCTTCAATCATGGTGGGTTTGCATTTAGAAAGAACTCTTTTTAAGAGGCCAAAGGGACAATAGTCCATAAGTGAAACATCAGGGAACTTCGCACAGGGTTCGTATGGTTCTTAAGGGTCCTTATTTTTTAATTTTTATTTATTTTTTATTTTAATTTTTATATATAAAAACATAATAATATGGTTATCTTTTGAATGGGTTCATGGGCTATAATTTGTTCCTATTTCTAATATAAATGGTGGGATACTCGAATTTCTGAGCAAGAAGTGAAACGTAAGCATTTCAAAAATATTTAATTTTTTCTAATTAAAAGCTCTTAAACAACTTTTCGCTTTTGGGGATGTGAATTGTTTTATTAAACGGTTCTAAAATTAGCGAATTTTGGCGATTTTAAGATCAGTTTCTGTAGAAAATTTTTAATTCCAAGATCTGGGAATTTTTCGACCATTTTTTTAAACATTGTAACATTGATAAATTTCATTGAAATAATAGTAATATATTGAAATTATATTTACAAAATAACATTAAAATAATACTTTTTTTTTATTTTTCACTGTCATATTATAAAGTTCCATTTTGGCCACTTATTTTATAATATTTTGAATCTGAAAAATGGGCAAGGTATAATGCTATAAAAGCACAATTAATGGAACAGCTCTTAGCAAAAGCAAAATAGCTATGTAATTAATTAAAAATGTTTTCTTTTAAATTTTTTTCTGTTAAGAGTTTTTCTCGTGTAATTGTCTCAACATATTCAAAACTCTCAGAATATGTATTAACTTTCTGTATAAGATTAATTTTACACTTTTCCCCTCTGATTTTTTTTTCCCTAAAATATTTTATGACTTTTTGCTGTTACAGAATTGCTAGGGGTAATTTTTTTTTAGGATTTTATACATTGCAGCTTGGAAAGTTTAGAAGGATTTGAAGGTAAGATATATAGACCCACGATTCTAGAAAATTATATAAAAATGTGACAAAAAAATGTCTCCATGGTTTTAACTCGTAATGAATGTATTTTACACAAAGTTTCTGATTAATTTGTTACTTTTTGGAGAACGTCTGGAAGAGCAATAGAAACATAATATTTGAATGTTTACTTCTGATACTAGAATCTTTTTCTTAACATGTTTATCTTCTCTTTTTTTTTTCTCTTTTTTTCATTAAGCGCAAGCATGGAAAATATAAAAAAATGCTTCTAAACTTACCACATGGACAGGCATTATGGAAAAGAATTTTTTTATTGATAAAGAAATTGAAAACTGACAATTTAAAAAGTCTTAATGCATCATACGCAGGGCTGGAGCTAGGCATTTTGCCACTTGATGCAATCTCTGTGGAACCTGAATTCTGCTGCCTGTGCCTTTCTAAATTCTGCTTCCAGTGCCTACTCTAAATTTTAAAAGTTTTGCTATTTGTAGATTATGTTGCTCAGTGTGTCACTAAATTCTAAAATTTCTGCCACACCAACTCTGTAACTTTCCCTTACCATATATATTTGATATTTCTTCTTAGTGTTCAATATCACTAAAGAAATAAAATTAGTAGCTTCTTCTATACATTGTAAATGCATTTAGTTTTTTTTTTTTTTTTTTTTTAAGTAACAGAAATCTTTAATTAAATAAAAAAAATTCTAAAATGAAAAGGAAACATGTTGGAGAAAGAAACTGAATACATAAAGATAAAGAAAATTATTCTTCAAAGATATGTACATTTATTATGCAAATTACCCAGTTGTTTATAATTTCAGCCTTTACTATAATTTCCCATTTCTATTTCCTCACTAGAATGCAAACTTTCTAAGACAGTTCAGTTTTTAGACTGAGGTTTTTTTAGTGTAAGACAGAGTGTGTTTCTGACCTCCACTTGCTCGCTGCATTTGTTCCTACCAGCTCTGATAATTGTCTTTAAATTATCGTTGCTGACATTTGAATTTGTTATGATGATAAAGCTTCTGGGCCAGCTTAAATGAAATTTAAATTGTATATTCTTTGACCTCTAGTCCACATTTTTAGTTTGAATTTGACTGTACCTTTTTTAATTACATCACCACAAGCTGTAATTGATTTTGTTAGCATGAGAACATGCCTTTATATTCTAAGTTCTTTTTAAATAAGGAGCTAATTTAAACCTTTGTTTGACTTTGTAGTTGTTTGCAGACATAGCAATAATTTGCTTCAAGTCTGGCGTGTGGTTTTGGACTATTAAACTTTTACCAGATCAAGTAAACCCTCATAGGTACATTGTGGAGAGGTTAACAAATTAGGAGATAAAGCACACAGAAAATAGTGAAAGCACTGGTTTGACTATAGAAAGAAATTTATAATTTTTAGAAAAGATGCTTAAAGAGACGATATAAAGTAGTAAAAATCTGGGAAGGCTTCAAATTGAAAGGATGCATCAATATTTTGCTGAGTGGTTTTGCCACAAAACATAAATGTTTTGTAGCTTTTAATGTGTAAATATCCTAATATTGTTTAAGAATTAGTGTGATAAATTACATGTATTTTATCCCTTTGGGACCCAATTTTGGTATGTGTTGGGATCTATATGTCCCTATGGAGCTGAAAGTGTTAAATTGTGAAATTTTACTAGATTGTGATTTAATGGGGCTTTTTTATGAAATATAAATAAATGACAAAGTTATCTAACTACCTAATTTAATTACTTATAACTAACTGCTTAAAAATTATCTCTGCATATTAAAGCGAGTTATTACCTTTCATTAATCCTTACTGTAGTCACAAGATAAAACACGGAAATGTAAAGTAAAGCTTATTCTTTGCATCTAGTGAAACTTAAAATAATACAAAACAACTTATCTGGTACTTTAGTGGCTTATTGGAATCTTAAAGTATATGAACTGGATTACAACCCCTGGAATTCTACACGAAGCTACGACACTAACTGCATCAGGCAGGACCCGACTAACTTTCAGAACTTGCCAACCGTGACTACATCAGGCCTTTCAGGTTTGTTCTGATCAGCAGGTCTTTCTCTAGCCAACAGTCAAAAAACTGACTGTTGTCTCTAGCCAGCAACAGTGACAACAGTCAGTTTTTTGTTATGAATCATGCTGATTATTATTTTACTTCTCATTTTGACCAATGTCACTTGACATAAAATCTACCTGCTGTTTACTAAACCTCTAGCTTGAGCAAGTATATAACAAAATGAGACATTAAAAAAATGAACAGAAAGCTGTTAGTAAAACATAAATAAAATGTCACTTACCTTCTTTCAAATAATGTCCAACTATTATAAGTGTAAAATATTTAATGCTAATTGATAAATTCCATAGAGTTTATTTTATTCTTAAACTTATTAATAATTATGTTAATTAATTTATGTTTAATAATAATGCATCCTTCTTATGGATCTATTTTATTTTTAGGCTGGTATTACAAAAGTGAAGTTCAGGCACAGATAATATTTTTAATTGAATTTATTCATAGGTCCTTAACTTTTTTCATTAATGGTCCTTAAAAGTACTTAATTTCGATGTACAGAAATATATATGAACGCTGTTTGCAGAAATTCATCGGAAAGGATTGAATTCATTATATATGCAGTACCTGTATCAGTCCTCATTTTTTCAAAGAATGCATTGGTTGCATGAGTTGTTGCTTTCTCGTGATGAAGTTTCACTCATTGAAAGTCATTGGGATAAAGAAATGGAATTCCTTCTGAAAATTTTGGATGTAAAACTTTCTCTTGATATTGAGTTTGGACTTTATATTTATTAGATGTAAGACTTTCTCTTGTTGAGTTGATTTTAACATCTCTCCCCACTCCTCTTAGTTTTAATTTCCCATTTTAAGATAATCCTGTGACATCATAAACCTCTTGCTGGAACTTTCGGTACATTTCCATTTTACCGGCGCAGGCGATAAAGTCGCCAATAATGGTACAACTGATGCCAACCGAAATATCCTCGCTGGTAACCTTTTACACCACATTTTCAAAACAAGTCACGGCCATTTCTTATGAGATTGATTGTTTCTTTCAATACTGGCATGCAATTACATAGAATTTTCACCAGATAGCTTAATTTTAAGCCCTAAGGCCATTCGCAGTAATTAAGTCAATTACGATGCAATCACACCGCTCACTCAAAGCCGAAAATATAGAAAAGGCGAAATCAGGGGTTAAATTCATCAGTTCTAATGAGAATGCACTAGTGAAATAAAGCACTGCGATTTTACATAATTTCTGAGTAAGCTTTTCATACGAATTGAAATAATTCTTGCATTTAAACTTGTATTCCAAATTAAGATTTAACTTGAAATTTAAGTAGATAATTACTGAAAGAATTAGATTTTTGTAGGGTAGTTTATGTGAGATGAGATTACTTGGGGTCAAGTGATACGAACTGGCGAATCAGAATGTTGAACCATGAAAACATGGTAAATTCTTAAACTAACGTTATTCTACAAATTTATTATTTTTATTTATTGGCTTTTTACAAGATTTTAAACGATATTAAAATTTTTATGCCTTCAAAATAAAAAATTCTTAGAACTAACATTTTTTATGCGAAAATACTGTATGCTGTCGCCAATAAAGTGTGCTTGGCAAGATTTGCGCCGGCGAAACGGAAGAGTACCGAAAGTGACACAGAGCCAGGTTTTTCCTTTTTTTCTGTCTGGTTTTTATAGCAAAGAGACCTTTTTTGTTGCAGTCATATAGGTTAACCAATGCTTCATGAAGGATCTTGATGTATTTCCATTTATCTTCCACTAAAAATTGTTTTCATACAGCATTCTGCATTGAACCACATCAACTCTCAAGACTACTTATGTTTCTATAGGAGGAGTATATGTTTCTCTATGGAGAATATTGTGTATGCAGGGAGACATATGTACTATATCTGTTTATGGAATTTATTTTTCTACATGGAATACTTTATTAATTTTTATGTGTATTTCTGAATGGAGGGGGGTCAATTCTAAAGAATACTTAATTTTGTATAGAAGTTTTATATGCGTAATATGCTCTATTACCAAAAGTGCCAATTTTTGAATAATTTATGGGAAGTATAGTTCATAACACTGGACTGCAAAAATTCATGTTATAGTCCCAGTTTTTTATGGAGATTTATCAAGGGTGATATTTATTTTATTCATGCATATATTATGAACTATGCATGTACAACCCATTGGTGAAATTCTGGTGTCCCACTCACTTCTTATCAACATATTATAAACTTTAAAAAGAGGTATTACAAAGGCATTTGATAAATTTTATTTTGATATTTATTCTAGAGTGACTAGTTACTTTCTTATTACTTACTACAGAGTTGTGATTGTTAGCCCCTGGTTTAATATAATTGCCTGTAAAGTGAGATAGATGCCTTCATGTGGGACTTTCTAAGGGAAAACCCCCTTGTAACCAGACTCTTTGCTATTTTAAGTATCTAAATGGTAGTCATAGTTACAAATTGTGCCTTTGCTGAATGTATAAATTCAATATGTTTATTTTTCAATCAAAACAGGTTATATATTTATGATGTTTGTACTAGTTTTATCAGCATTTGAACTTTATTATGCTTTATAAGATATCATGTATGTGTTTTCATTCCATCTTATTTTTTAATGTAATTTTAATCTAGGGAACAAGTAAATTGGGATGATGACATCAGCACCCTAGAAGGTGAAGAAATCACTGTAGAAATTCATGAAAGAATTCCTATTACTACTAGCATATCTCATAATTTTGTAAGTTGTATCAGGCTCTCTCCAAAAGTACTATTAGTTATTATGTAAGATTTATTTAATTGGTATTTATTTTCGTGTATGTTGAAGAAGTTTCAAAGTTAATTTTAATCTGTCCTGTCAGAAAGTTTTTATAATTTAAGTTTCTTGTTTTTAATGTAGCTTATCTTTATTTGAATTTTTTGTAAGGAACAGTTTCCAAACTTAATGGCTTAGTAAACAATTGAAGTATCACTTAAAAATTATCAGATACTGATGCCTTTCATAAAGAGAATCCAGTTAATGATAACAGTATAAAAAAATAGTGGGTTTTTTTTAATTTAGTTTTTAATTTTTATTTATTTTTTGTAATTTTATTTATTTATTGTTTTGTATATTTCATAAAATGATATAATACTTACAAAAGGGATTGTTTAACTGTTTTGGATAAGAATTCCTCCTTCTGTCTTCCAGTTTTGCTTCACCTCCATTAGCAGTGTTATTTGTTAGTTTTAAAATATTTTATTTTCATGGCATACATACCAGCTATTAACAAAATGTTTGTTAGGTTTTCAATCTGGAGCTGATACTTTAAGACAATTACTTAGGTTATTCTGTGGATCTTATATTTTTCTATGATACGTATGTCTTATCCTGCTGATTATGAAACTCTTGCCAAGCAGTGCAATTTAGAGCCAGTTCTGGATAAGTATGACATCACAACTCTCTCATAACATCTGTGTTTTAGTTTGGTATGACTCTTGATAAGTCACCTTTATTTATGAACAAGAATGTGAATTAACTCTTATTGCTGCCTTTTTTCCTTGCCTTTTGAGAAAATGAATTAGAGAACCATATTTGTGACTACACATCAGTTCATTTACAGCTGGTCAAGAGAATTAACATCTGTTGAATAGGGAAAAGAATAATTGGGTGCGGCCAACAATGCAGCAATAAATTGAAATAATCATCTGCAGGAAGTTTGTATTCACTACATTAAGTAGAGCTCCATTAAAATTGGAGGGCAGAACAAAATAGTAGAAATCGATGAAAGCCTTTTTGCGAAGAGAAAAACAAAGCAGGTTGGATACTTTCTCAGCAGTGGCTATTCGGTGGATTGATATAGAGACTGATGGATGTTTTATTGTAAGAGTTGTGGCTAGAAAGGTGGCTGAGAATTCCTTAAGAATGACTGGTACTGCTTTGCGGAATCTCTGACAACTTTTATGGTTCAGTGATGAAATTTTGTGCATGTCATTATCTTTTTAAATGTTGAGAATGTTTGGAAATCATATAGCACTAAGTATGAGCTATATGTAGATTATATTCCAAAGCCTTAGCAACCAGTGCCTTGGCAATAACTTGTCATGAGACATTGTCTTGCAGCAAGAAATCTATTTCTTGAGCAGACCCAGCCTTTTTCTTAGTCAAGGTTTCATTCAAATTGGTTTTCAAGGTATTTGGAAATGTTCACTGTGACCTGCATACCCATGATTGGTAGTATTGATATCAAAAGTCCCAGGAGATGGTCTACTAAAATGTGTTTTTTCAATCACTTGCATGTTATTGTGCGTAATGTGCCTCTCACTGAAGTATTGAATAGTGGCAAAAAAATTTGCCATATGCATGTTATATTATTTCAATGTGTCTTCCCAAGTTTAATATAGAATTCGCTTCACATTTGCTGTATTTTCACAGAGTCCATCACAATAAAATATGCTTCTGTTGGTTATGATGAAATATTGAAGGTAATGGTTGTCCAGCTGCAGAATCAGACATGTAGATATATGATCTTCATGAAACCCATTATAAAGTTGTCACTTCTAATTTTGGAAAAGAAAAATAAAGGCAGTACAGTCAAAAGTCGTTAATTCGGACATCCATAATCCGGCGCATGCGCAGAAAGCTAAAAACTTTCTGCGCATGCGCTGCGTTGACACATGCACATAGGCGTTTACGCGTGCACGTAAGACCTTTACGACTGCACATATGCATGTGCACAAGCGCAGAATACGTTTTCGCGTGAGCGTTTTATGTATAACGGACGGTATAAGCTAAAATTATCTAATTCAGTTAATGTTGATGATTGCGTTGTTCCTTAATCTTCGAATTGGATCCAGCTTATTATTTTTTGCAGACTGTAAGAGCAATTTTATAAAAGTAAACTTGAACTTTCGATTATGCCAAATAGAATTTCCGATGCTGGAGCTCCCAAAGGATCTACAAAACGAAAGTATGTTTCGATGTCCAACAAACAAAAAGTGGAATTGCTGCAAAAAATGGATAAAGACATGAAGAAGGTGACAGAGAGGTTAGTGAAAACGCAAAAACTTCGATTGACAAGTTAGTCGGTATTCTCGGCACAACAATTACGGGACTTGAACAGCGGAACTTTGTAACTGAACAAGAAATTATGTCTGATTATAGAATTAAAGAGAAAGTATTATCACATAAAATGAAGCAACTTAAACAACTTACATTGAAAGAAATGTTTAATAAAGTAAACAAATAAATATTAAGCTTTTTTTTTTTTTTTTTTTTTTTTTTTGTAAATTTTGATACCCTTTAGATCATAATTGTTAAGACACAATAACACGCCGAATAAATACTAATTCAGAAGTCAAACAACAAAAATCAGCGTAATATTTGCAAAATTTTCACAGGACTAGTTTCGATGGTTTTACCGAACCACCATCTTCAGCTGCAAAACCACAAATGAACAAGATAGGAAATAATGATTAGATAAGATAAGAAAGCCTGGACAAGAATAAGCAAGTGGCGCCATCTGTTGGCGAAACCAGAACTAAAACATAATTTCTCTAAAAGCCGAAGGCAAATTTGGATTGGAATTAGGATCGTTAACTAGAACAGAAAGATTTTTATGAATGTGAAATGCCTCTAGAAAATCCAGTTCTCCAATGGAAGATGTTTTTTGAATAATTTTAGCAGCAGAAAAATTGAAAGTGTGATTTTCGGACCAACAATGTTGAGCAACAGAAGACTTCTGTGTTTCCTTTTTTCTAACATATGCCTCATGTTCCTTGATGCGAAATTTTAAGGCTCTCTTAGTTTGGCCAATGTAAATTAAACCACACTGGCAAGGAATCCTATAAATACCCCAGGAATTCATATCCGGAATGGGGTCTTTGAGTATAGAAGTCCGAATTTTATTGATGGGAGAATAAACAACCCGAAAGTTAAATTTCTGCAAAATATGTGCAACTTTATAGCTAATTGATGGAAAGAAGGGAATGACAACAGAATTTTTATAATCTCCTAAAATAAGAGTGTGGCTTTTAGTGTGTTGAGATGAGAATTTTTTAACTGCTTGATTAATAATGTTGGGTGAAAAGCCCCTGTCAATAGCTATTGCTTTTAAATAATTTAGTTCTTCGTCAAGGGCTAGTTTGGAGGAGCAAACTTGAAGAGCACGGAAAACATAGGAATAAAATGAAGCTAACTTTTGTTTAGTCGGATGACATGATTTAAAGTGTGGTGGAAGGCAAACAGATGAAGGTTTACGGTAAACTGTAGTACTGAAATTGTATGTGTTACGTGTGACCAGAATGTCGAGAAACGGAAGAGAATTGCAAGTCTCAAGTTCAAAAGTGAACTGAATAGCAGGATCGATAGAATTCATTGTTGAAAGAACTTTATTTAAATCATCTTTATTACCTTCAAACAGGGTAAAAGTATCGTCTACGTAGCGGAACCATGCCGGGAAGTTTAAAGTTTCAAACAGTTTTGATTCATAATAATGCATGTAGATATCAGCCAGGATGGGACTGGCTTCACCCAACATTATTAATCAAGCAGTTAAAAAATTCTCATCTCAACACACTAAAAGCCACACTCTTATTTTAGGAGATTATAAAAATTCTGTTGTCATTCCCTTCTTTCCATCAATTAGCTATAAAGTTGCACATATTTTGCAGAAATTTAACTTTCGGGTTGTTTATTCTCCCATCAATAAAATTCGGACTTCTATACTCAAAGACCCCATTCCGGATATATGAATTCCTGGGGTATTTATAGGATTCCTTGCCAGTGTGGTTTAATTTACATTGGCCAAACTAAGAGAGCCTTAAAATTTCGCATCAAGGAACATGAGGCATATGTTAGAAAAAAGGAAACACAGAAGTCTTCTGTTGCTCAACATTGTTGGTCCGAAAATCACACTTTCAATTTTTCTGCTGCTAAAATTATTCAAAAAACATCTTCCATTGGAGAACTGGATTTTCTAGAGGCATTTCACATTCATAAAAATCTTTCTGTTCTAGTTAATGATCCTAATTCCAATCCAAATTTGCCTTCGGCTTTTAGAGAAATTGTGTTTTAGTTCTGGTTTCGCCAACAGATGGCACCAGTTGCTTATTCTTGTCCAGGCTTTCTTATCTTATCTAATCATTATTTCCTATCTTGTTCATTTGCGGTTTTGCAGCTGAAGATGGTGGTTCGGTAAAACTATCGAAACTAGTCCTGTGAAAATTTTGCAAATATTACGCTGATTTTTGTTGTTTGACTTCTGAATTAGTATCATAATTGTTCTTTATTTCATAAATTACGGTTTCATATTTTTAATTTTAGAATTTCTGCTTGCCATCTTACGAGATTTAAACTGATGATCTATAATCCGGAAAAATCGATAAACCGGAATCGCCGAAGTCCCGACGAGTCCGGATTAATCACTTTTGACTGTATCAGTTTTTCAGTTAGTCATGGTATATAGCACGGGATGCTGATGCTTGTTATGTGTTCAGTGGCAGAATTTGAAATTAACTTTTAGCTCAAGTTTTTAAGTGATAATTTAAAATTTTATCTCAGAATATCAATGTATTTATATGAATCGGTTGTATCATGAATAAAACCAAGATTATGGTGCCATGGAAAAGAACATATAAGTCAGAACTTCTAACTTCTCTTCTATTTGGTACAGCATTGGAAATTTTGTTTTTTGAAATTCTTCTTCAAATGTCCTCTGTTCTGTAATTTAACCCTTTGAGTGGGAAGACATTAGATTTACTTTTGTTGGGGAATGTTATACTATTCTAGTATTTGATATTTTTATTTCTGTCAATTTTTATGAAAAAAGCTTACGTTTTGATGCAAAATATATGTGCAGCAGAGATCAGAATTTTAGGCAGTTATATCACCAGTATTGTACATTGTATTTATCATCCGTATGACCTGTCAAGTCTTGTCACTGCATGTATTTTTTACTTTATCATGAAACCACACTTTAGTAGCATTCTTAATCATGCATTCTTTGTTATACAATCTATTTTACTAACCTTATTCCTTGAGAATATGACACAAGGTTTCATTTGGATTTAACCCTTCGCGGTTAGATTAAATTTGGAGATGGGTATCGTACTGGTCAGAATTAATTTCCATCGATAGAGCAGGGATACATAACACGCAAGTTTACAATGAATAAACAAGATTTAGTAATTCTTTTGTGAACTTTAGATACATCTTTATTCAATACACTCATCTAGTGACATGTTTTTGTATAAAAATTATGTTTTATAATTCTCCTTCATGTGATATTTTTCTTCGATCCCGTCGAAAAATTAGTTTTTGATTGTGGCTGATCTGTGTACGTAACGTCTCTCCAAGTAGAAAATTTGTTTATATTACTATTCTCATTTTCATCATTTTCTTCTGTTTTACTGTCACTGGATACTGTTAACTGCCCTACTTATCGCTTCACGGTAACTATGTCACTATCAGAGTCACTGCAATCGTTATCACTTTCTCTATCAGAGTCAGTATTCAAGAGGCCAAAATAAAACTCTTCATCGCTATCGTCAGTTTCACCAAACACTTCTTGTGATAACTTTCTTTTTCCCATTTTGGGGAATTATTTTAGAATATTTTAAGAAGAGAGAATGTCTAATTACTGTTAAATACAATTTATAAAATATTCTTTGGAATTTTTCAAGGTATCATTGAACGTTGTCGATTTCATTACATTCAAAGACAACTGACTCTCCACTGTGTCTTGCATGGCGAGCGCTGGGTCACAACTTTTGTTTAGATTAGATAATCGATGGAGCATTGTATTGGTTCATGAATAGGTTCTTTAGGCATTGAGGTTCATATAGGAAAAGTGTAAACTGATACATGAATGCATACAGTATACGATTTGTATAGTTCCTTACTGCGGTGGCTGAGAGGAGACATACGACCAGAACGGTAAAAACGCTGTGGTGGCTGAGAGCAGACATACGATCGGAACGGTAAAAAAGGCTTTGGTGGCTGAGAGTGGACATACGACCGCAAAGGGTTAAGTCTGGTGAGTTTCCAAGCCAGTCTAGCACAATAATTTTATTTTTCAACATAAACCTTCTGACAGATTTTGAGTTGTACCATGTAGCCAAGTCTTGTTGAAATGTCACTACAAAGGTTTTTGAGGATGGCTGAATCCTCTGTTCTAAAATTTCTATATACTTTGATGAATTCATTATTCCGTCAGTAGGGAACTAGGTTTCCAGTGCCATCTGCAATGAAAAAAACCCCAAAACATTTGTTTCTGAGTGTATTTTATGATTTGTTGAATATATTGAAATCTTATTAATTGTTATTCGCTTTCTGGAACAATGTTAGATACGAACAAACATGTCTGAGGAACAAATAAATAAGTCTCATTACTGAAAATGACTTTTTCCAGTTATTTAGTTGCCCAGCATTTATTTGTATTTTTTGTCTTGCAGTGATCGCTTTGCTTCATTTGTTGTGTCAAAAGTTGTTTTTTAATAGGCATTCTTATCTTCTGACCAGCAGTGAGTAATCTACGCTGCACATTTGAAGAATGAATATCAGTACCTGTAGTAGTTTTTATTGGATTAATAATACCATTTTGGAGTAGGAATCAATCAGATTTTCGAATTAGTTTCCTTCCACGTTTGACCTTCCTTTCTGAAGAAAATTACCCAGTTTCATCATATCTCTTCTGAATGCAAGAAAATCTCAATTTTTCAACATCAACTGCAGAAGCAGTATTTTTTAGTCATGGATGTATGACTGTTGAGTGTGATAATTTTTGCACTCATTATAGGTGTTATATCCAATTTAAGTACATTAACCCTTTGCACTCGAGGCCTTTTTTGCTTGTGCAAACCAGCAACTCAAGACGATTTTGGCCAAATTCGGCAAACACTTTACAAGTACTTTAAAAACATTTATAAACACACAAACATATACAAATAATAAAATTTCACGAGTTTATTCATTTATATGTCGAAAACAACAAAGTTTGATAAATATTACACTCTGTAATTAGTTTTGGTGTGATATTTTGTAAAATGATATCCAAGATGTATCCTAAATTTGTCAGAACGTGTATCACAGTAATACGAAATTTCTCACCTACCTCCAGGCGTGTTACAGTCAGAACAAACCGTGCATTCCCTTTTGGCCCTTTTAGTATTACGTGAAGCTTCCCGTTTATAATTCTAATTCTCTATAATTCTAATTTTCCATCGTCTCACATCTCTTACTGCACTGTCTTCTACACTGGATTCATTTGTTTCGTGTCATAATCCGTTGGAAATCAATCTAAGTTCATCATCCAAAGCGGCAAAATCGAATTCGTTTGAGCTGATCTGATCTTCCTCCATATTTTTAGGCCTCAAACACTTTTTAGTTACTATATTTACTGCCAAGACTGTTTCAAGCGAATGCTACACTGAGAGTAACTAAACTGAGCTAAGATTTGGCTATAATGTCAGCGGAGCCTAGTCCACAAAAGTACTTCCGAGAAAAATATCGCACATTGTAAATAAGGAGATCGAGTTACAAAAGACCATAGTGTCATAGCAGCATTGCTTAATTTAAGACTTCAAATCACTCGGGCGCTGCAGCAGCGCCACCCGAATTGACACTTTAAACCGGCTGGGCGCCACTCGAGTGCAAAGGGTTAACATCAATGAATGCAAAATGTACTTGAAAAGTATGCAAAAGTAACTTCTTCTTCTCTCATAAATAAGCTTAAAATTATGTAATAATTCTGATTTGTTGTTTAAACTGGTTCTATAAGTAGATACCCAAAGGACATTAAGGCAGATAAAGCCGATTTGAAGGACCTACCGGCAGTTGGCAACCAGCTTAAAATTTTGCAAAAAAATCACTTTATCCCAATTTATTTGCATAGTGTAGTATATTGTATATATTTTAAACAAATGTATTTGCAGTCTTAATTGTGGCCCAAGTGTTTCGTGGCAGAATTTCTCCTCTTAAAACTGACAGCATTAATTCTTAAATTGTGGTGTTTTATTTATTTATTTATTTAAGCACATAAATGCATACTTTAAAGGAGCTTCTGTTCAGTAATTTCAGTGTAATGCATTTAAAATTTTATGCAATATTATTATTTAGAGCATGAAACTGTTTAGTTACATGTGTGCTATATAATCTTTGTTTCAAATTAATGATTATAAATAAGATTATAAATTAATGATGATAAATTTATTCGTATGGCAATCTCAGTTTGTGCATCATTAATCTTTGAATAATTGCTTCTAAATTTTTCTGGCTTCATTTATTGTGTAACTCTTTCTGTCTTCATTTATTGTGTAACTCTTTCCATTTTTATGATGTTTTAGAAAAAGATTTTCATCTGTGATATTAGTATTCTAATATAAATGTTGTTTTTTTCATTGGAAGTAAGAAATATATTAATGGCATATTTCTTTTCAGTGTATGAATTTCATTATTTTATTAAAATATATTCAAAAAAGTTTTTGTTAAAAATTTAAAATAAATTGTAATGGAAGATTCATGTTGATTTTCATTAAGTTGCAATATATGAATCTTAAAATTTTTTAAATTTTTTTCCTGTGATAAATATATTTGACATTATATTATTTAACATTTTTACTGACATTTTGAAGTAATAATTTCTAATCCTGCTTTAAATTTTTTTTTTTTTTTTCCTTTTAGGTGCGTAAAACCTTCTTTACCCTTGCATTCTGTGAATGCTGTCGTAAACTCCTTTTTCACGGATTTCGTTGTCAAACTTGTGGGTACCGTTTCCACCAAAGATGTGCTAATGGTGTTCCTACTCTTTGTCAGCCTTTACGGGTAGAAAATAATTACTATAGATAGTAAGTTGGAATTTACTTTTTCACTAAATGATGGATATAATAGCAAATGTGATGGTGACAAGAAATGATTCTTGTTACCACTACTCCCGTATAAATAATTTTCCATTCAGAGGGTTTGCCAGAAAAAAAAAGCTTTATGTTTTCTTCTAAAAATTTCTTACTTTTTTTACTTAATGGTATTCAGGCTCAGAAGCTTAGAAATATTCAATATACAGTATGTCCATAAAAGAATGTTCTAATTATAAATTTTGATAGTATCACCTGTACGTTTTTGTAGTCTCGATTCAAGATAATAATTAAAGAGTAACTTAAACAGTTTTAGATAAGTGCGTGCTGAAATATTGCTTTGTTGTGTTCTGGCTTGCAGTGCCACCTAAGCAAAATGCTGATGCCTTAGCATAAAGCATTTTATGTTCTGCAGTTTGTCAAGAGTGAATCTGTAATTCCAGTTCAACCAGTTCAACAGGTTGAATTGTGTTGCATAATGTGCTAAAAATATCCACTGATGATAATAGGCAATCTGAAACTACTGAATGTGTTTGTAAAGGTAAAAGCACCAGATAATCAAAAGTGTGTGTAGTGGATGTGGACCAAGTCAGAGCATTTTACCTTCGTAGCCCTAAGAAATCTGTTTGGAAATCAAGTCTTGAACTTCTGTTTCCAAAGACAACAGTTTGGAAGGCCTTAAGAAAGCATTTACGCATGCATTCATACCGGTTACAGTTGGTACATTGGCGTACATTTTAACTTTGCAAGTGAAGTGTTGAGTGGAAAGATGACATTTTTGATTGTGTGATGTACTGTAATGATTCAGTTTTTCATCTGACTGGGAAAATACCAATGGAACCCATAATGCTCTTATCTAAGGGTCAGAACATCCTCATTAATTAAGACACAATAACACGCCGAATAAATACTAATTCAGAAGTCAAACAACAAAAATCAGCGTTATACCTACAAAATTTTCACAGGACTAGTTTCGATGGTTTTACCGAACCATCATCTTCAGCTGCAAAACCGCAAATGAACAAGATAGGAAATAATGATTAGATAAGATAAGAAAGCCTAGACAAGAATAAGCAAAGTGGCGCCATCTGTTGGTGAAACCAGAACTAAAACATAATTTCTCTAAAAGCCGAAGGCAAATTTGGATTGGAATTAGGATCGTTAACTAGAACAGAAAGATTTTTATGAATGTGAAATGCCTCTAGAAAATCCAGTTCTCCATCCTCATTAACTTCTAGAACACGAAAAGGTTCCCCCAAAATTAAACGCTTTCTCCCCTGTGTCTCGCTATCACGTATATGGACAAGTTTGTTTCACTGAAGCTACCATAACAAGAATGCTTATCTGGATATGTTACAGGAATAGCTCTTTCCCAAATTAGTAGAGGGCAAACCTGTAAACTTTGTTTGGCAACAAGATGAAGCCTCTGCCCATTGGAATATCTTTGTACGAGCGTGGTCGAACATCGATGTTCGTGACCATTAGATTGGTCATAATGGTCACGATGACAGAGCTATTTTCACTGGCCTGCACGTTCACCTGACCTAATGCCATACAGTTTTTTTCCTTTGGGGCTTTATAAAAAATTGTGTCTCCGTGACTTGTTAACCAAAGTCTGGGAAGCATTGGACTGCAGGTTGGATGTGTGCATTATAACTAAAGGTGCGCATGTAGAAATGGAGGAGTGGAGGAAAAAACTAGGTTAGTTTAGCTTCAATCTGATGTATAACATATGATAAATAATCTAAATTAAACTGTTGTAATATACCATTGAAACCGGGACATTCTTTTATGGACACCCTTATTAAGTCATTTAATTTTTCTTAGACTACAACATACCATATATGTACTTGCATATTCTCCCTTTCTATAAATTTTACATTTTAAAAACAGTAAGGGGAAAATTATGTGATGTATATTCTTTCTGAGGAAAATATCTTAATGAAGAACACATGGAATTAAATAGTATGTATAAACAAGAATGCTTTTATTGTACTGTATTTCAAAGTTATTAATTTAATATTATTATTTTTATTTATATAGAGTACTTTCCTATCTGTGCATACATTTTATGTTGCTACTATCAGAAATTTCTAAATAATGTGCTGAAAAAGCTAAAGGAAGAAATATCTAAATGAATTCAGTAGTTTTTTAATAATATCTGGAGTGATTTTAAGACAAGTCCTGAAAGGTAAAATAGATCTTTTGCATTTCTATAAAACCATTTCTTTTCTGGATGCTAAAAAATGTATTAAGTAGTTTCTGCATCTAAAGTGTGGTTTGTGTAATTTTTAATAGGCTTTATTTGATTGCCATTAAAAGAAAAGTTAAATAAAAAAATTCTGCTGTTTTAAAACTTTATTCCACATTTCTTCACAAATTCCATTAATTAGAGAATGTTGCCTTCTATAGTGTTTTAAATCTATATCAGTAATTATTTTACCTAATTTAAAATAATAATCTCATAGGCCGAATTGCACTGCAGCTCCTGTAGAAGGCTAGTACCAAATATGCTTTTGTTTTGAAGATCCTACTACAGCTGCAGAATTGGGAACTCTTCCCAATGTAAAGAAAAAAAAAAAAAAAATTTGAACTTTAATTTTGGTGCAATAATAATAATAGTCTGAAAAAATAAGAAGCTGGACCAAATTAGAAAGTTTACGAAGAGCGCAATTTGCTGTGCTAACTGAACTTAAATTTTTTAGAATCTAATTCTTTCTTTTCTCCCCACTACTATGGCAGTAAACAGCAGCCTGTATGAGCAACACCTTTTTCAAACAAATACTATATCCTGGCCCTTCAGTTTTTGTTTAGGTCAGACAGAAAAATGCTGCCTGCTCCCTCTAGAACAACTTAAATAGCAGGAGGTGTGGTTGTGGCTAACATCAATCAGTATTGCAATTCCTCATGAAATGAAAACAAAATGCAAAGCTGCTAAACAAATGGCATCATCTAATCACTGTCCATGTGTTGAAAGTAAATGAATAATTATTTGAATGCTGGATTTTATACACAGAGTTGACTAGCACTTTATTGCTTCATGTATTTTTCTCAATTTTATGCTGCTGCTTATAACAGTATCTAAGGCTCCTGATTGCTTGTGCTCAGAGCTCTCTCTAAAAGCCATGCTCACCACATCTGGATACCTGCCTCACTCTCCAGCTGCAACTTTTGCACTGAGCTGGACACCTTTTGATGCAGTGGCATTTTCAGAGGCGAAAGTGCCTCCCTTTTTTTTCCTTTTCAGATTTTCTTAGGAGACTCAGGAACTTTCAACTCATCAGGCCTCTTTCTGGAACCTGAGATAACTGAAAAGAACTGCTAAAAGTTAATTAGTTGAATCCCAGCTTATCAGGAGAGAAAAATCGCTTTTGTGGCAAGGCGTACCTTTTTTTTTTTTTTAACTGTTATATTCTTTATTCCTGGGAGGTGGGAAATAGATGGTGGTTTAGATGTCTGTTAGACTATTCCGGTTATTGGTTGAAAAAAGTCTGTGCTTTGAACTATATTATTTTATTTCAACACTGAGATGAAACTCCTCACATCATCAGTCATGGTATGAAAAAAGCAGTGGTTGAAAGTGCTCGTTCTGATGCTATTTTTTTGTTTGTATGTGCATTGGTCAACAATTTCAGTATCAGTTTTGTACATTGTGCAATATAAAATTTCTGGAATTTCCATGATAATAATACTGATTATGAACAACTGTAATATTCTTGAATTTTTACACTTAGCTGTTCACATTTCTCTTTCAATTTCATTCAGAAACTGCTGCTTTAACTCTGCTTCACTCTTTACTGTAGGCTTATAAATATGACATGTGATGGAGAAATCAAATTGTAGGCAAGAGTTCACAGCTGCCTGGATTATTATTCTTGAAGCCATTATTACTAATTTTCGTGAAAAGACTAACAAGACTACGACAAAGAGCAAAATTTTAAACAGTTACCCAATGGACCACTTGCAGCTAATGTACATGCACATTGCATCCACAAAGATTTAGAACTGAATTTATATAAGATCAAAATTTAAAGAAAAACAAAATCTTATTTCTTAGATTCAAATATACAGTCCTTGTAAGCATACAGCTACTTGATTCCCTTGATTCCTTGATCGTTTGGAATATTGTTTTAAATGTCTCATTTTCAGAATCTGTTCATTGTTATTAAAATAATGATTTTTTGAGGTGAAACTTCACTTTCGAGATGAGAAATATTCTAGAGGTACTCAATCTTGTGAATAGAATAATGAATTGGTTAAGAATCATGATTCTTCTTATTTTTGTTCTAGAAACAGCTTAATGAGAATGGAATTATATAATTGAACATTGTCGTGCAAAAAAAAAAAAAAAAACAATTGTTCAACTGAGTGTGGTGCTTTCTATCTGCCCTGTAGGAGCAAATTGCTCAGGAATTATCCTTTTTTAATAAGTAAAAGTCATCAACATAGTCTTTTATTCAAGGTTTGTGAAAATTTATGTTTTTCTGTTATTTGCTTCTGTGGAAGTAGTGAACTTTTTTCAACCCAAGCAGATGATTGATGTTTTGTTTTAGGATACAAGTAAAGCTCCAGGTCTCCTCTCCAGTTAAAGTTTTCTTGAAAAAAAAATGAATATTAATGTTTGCTATTTGAATCAAGTCATTTGCTCAGCTCATAAATTCACGATAACATATATCCGCAAGTTGAGATTTAATAAATGCTGTCAATTATCGTTTGGCAGGTTTGTTGGTATATGGTAAAAAAAAGATGCATTGTGTATGTGATCTAACATGCTGTTATAATTTACTTTTGATTGTTTGTTAATCTCTGCAATCAAAATATGCCTCAAATTGTATTTTTACAAGTGGTTTAAAAATCAGATTTTCAGTTTTTTAAATGAAAGGAATTTTTATCAATGACGAGATTAATATGCTAGAAGTTAAAAGAAGCATCAGTTCTAAATAAATAAGTGCTTTTCCCAAATCATTTAAAAATTAAGAAAATAGAAACTGAATTTTAAAACTTTTCAGCATGAATGTTCAAAACTCTAAGAGCAGTTTTGTGTGCTGCTTTTGCAGAGGGATGTAAAATAATTTTATTACTTGAAATAAAATTGTTTTGAAGATATTTATGATACATTTTTTAATGTAATTTATGAATTTGCTTAAACTTCTGGCTGTATTTCCATGACCAGATTCTAATAATGATCACAAAATATGCATGCACAATTTGAACTAATCCTATATCTTTATGGAGTGTTTCGGCAGCCATAAGTGGAATTGGAATGGTTGGCAAGCTGAATTTGAATTGGTCTTCTACTGCTTGAAATTATATTGGGCAGTAATCTCATGTATTATAGTTATTTTTTTATTGTTGTATTGGAATGTTTCCTTAACTTTTTACTTTAATGGCTCATGTTTGTATCATTTCTCTGGAAGAGGGGGAGGGAGCCATGGGAAAAAATAATATGAATTTATAAAAATGAAATATATATAATTAATTATTATTAACTACAGATAAGTTTATATAATTAAACAGTCAGTGAAATTTTTTATGATTCATACTTTGAGACTTCTATTCTATTGTCGTGAAGAATTAGGTTAATATATGAGGATTCCATATTTTCATATGTGTGAAAGAAAGTGTGCTGTAAATGTACAAACATAGCATATAGCTCTACTTTATTATTGTTTATTTAAGTTTAATAATGTTGTACAGTACATAATTTAGTTATATATATGTGCTACACAAATATTATATATACCATCTAGTATTTCTTGGATCTTGAAATGCATTGCTTGTAAACCTGGGGCCTTTCCTGAAATTAGATTAATTAAACATTCTGTGTGTGGTTTTATAAACTATAAATTGATTATCACATGTCACAATTATCTTTTTTTTTTATTTTAGTTTATTAGCTGTGAACAGTGGTGGTTCACAGCAACCCCATGAATCCTCTACTCTTCCGAACCAGTATTTTTATCCTCAGGCACCTGTCCCATCTCCACCTCAAGCAGTCCCCAGAGCCCATCCTCCTCCTCTGGGTCAGAGGGAACGTTCTACCTCTGCTCCGAATGTGTGCTATAATATGGTTAACCAGACAGACTTGTCTTTAGAGGTGAAAAGATTCATTATTTTATTTAACAGGGTTCGTAGCCGTCCTTACAAGTGCTTATAAGTCCTTATATTTAAAAATAAAATATAAAGGCCCTTATAGGTGCTTACTTTTTTTAAAGCCTTCTTTTTTTTTTTTTTTTTTTTTTTAGTGCTTTTTTTAATGAACGTGCATTTTTCCTCCCGTACCAAAGCCGAAACTAAAAATACAACTTTTCTTTCTTCCTTATATGGAACGTCAGATGGTGAATCATACTCCCGGAAATAGCCTTTCCCCCCCTTTCTCTGCATTAACGTAACCTATGGTGCGCGCGAGAGTATAGACAGGTGCACGTCGTCTTTTGGTCAAAGAATTGCGAAAACCGTAGAAAATTACGGTACTAATTCGGTATTCTTTTCCGTCCACCCCAAATACTACAACACGTTTGAATTTCTATCAAGATTTTAATAATTTGCATTCTCGTTCTGCGTGGTCAGTTCATATTCATGTTTATTATGATCGTTATGCTTATATTATGAGCATATGTATGAATATTTATAGTAATATAGTTGCAGTAGCTGCTGAAGTGTAGATAAACTTCCAAAAATGGGTGTATTTTTACACAGATTAGCTTTCTAAATAATATTCGGAATGGCTTAAATAAAAGGAAAGTAATCGAGTAGTCCGAATATCCCCCCCCAATACATTATACAGTACGGAGGTTCTTCCTTTTCTCCGCAAAATCTCTAATATTAAAGCAGCGGACTTTTTTTTTTTTTTTTTGTCACTGTCCAATCTGGATTGAATAGGACTAAAAGTTTTGCAGTCTACCCAACCCAAGCGAAGAATGAAAATTGCGGAAATTTAACGCAATCTGTTCAAAATTAGAATCAAAAACACCCCAGATTAGTAAGTCTCTTTCTTTTCCTTTATTTAGTTCTTTATTCTCCGAACAGCTTTTGATTCCGATTGCGTAATATCACATATGGAAGAATTACGCCGCACGTATTGCGCAATAATGTTTGCGATATTTTGCAGAGATAATTAATTTTGATGTTCAGTCTGAGATTTATTTATGAACACTTAAAAGAGTTTTACTGTCCTTTCTAAGCAGAATATATCTCAGTTCCGTTGGTCTATTTTTATATGATGCACATATCAAAATGTCAAAATCATTTATTTAGCCGAGAAATCTAAAAAACGGCTACAATCTCCCCTCCTCCTCTTTTTCCAGTTACGCTCGACTATACGGAATATTCGGCAATTTCGGAGTATGCGGGTTAGTTAAGCTTTTACCGTTTAAGGATGACTGCATGAAGCAATTTCCCGTCTCCTAATTTCAGAAATGTTCCTCCTTTTTACTTAAATTACTTTGCTTGGAATATATGTTAAGGGAAAACTGTTATGCAATGAAAATTTAGAAAATGTTCAAAATTTTGATTTAAATTATTTAAATATTAATATGAGTGGGAAAATAAATTGTATTTATTATTAGATGCCAAGCTAATACAATTAATATGGCTTATTATTATTTATTTTCTATATTTTGAAATGAAATTTCATCATTAAATCTTGTAATATAGTTTAGTTCTGCATAGTTTTTTTTTTTTTTTTTTTTTTTTCCCCCCCCCCCTATCATTGTAAACTAATTCTGTAAATTGAACTGTCATTTAAAATAAATAATAAAAAAAAAAAAAAAAAAAAGTTGTTTTCCAAGGTTGAGGTAATGCTCATTCTCTTGATAAGTATTGCATTGCTCATATTTTAAATTGCAAGTCTAATTTTTCGTTTATGGTTATGCAGTTTGTTATAATGTAATTAGACAGGTGCTTATTTTTTTCCTTAAAATGTGCTTGAAAAGTGCTTATAGGTGCTTATTTTTTTAACTAAAATGTGGCTATGAACCCTGTTTAAGTATCAATGTGTATAAGTTTGTTCCGTGTAAATTTATATCGTATCATAAAAATTAAGTAGTTAATTAATTTTATCAACATTGTAGTTGACAAAAATATGTTTTGTAGTCTCTTGAATATACAATGATATTTTCCCTCTCAAAATATTCTAAAAATTATACTTTTTATATAAATTTTATATAAAAAATATTTAGGTAATTTACTTGTTATACCATGACTTTTGCATAGTCCAGATTGCATTGTTGAACCCTAAAAAGATTGTGACCACAGATGTTGCTGCACAATCATAAATAATTGTATATTTTACATTCTCTTGGATTTTAAAGTCTGGAATATAATAATTATTAAGTCATCAGAGTTGGAAATATGTGTTGTGTCATGTACTTATTTAAAAATTTGGGGCCCAGGATTCAGTTCGTGTGGCATTCTTAACCCTCTCACTGCATACTTTTTTTTAATTAAAATAGGTTCAAAAATTGCGTAATTTTTTTGTTACGTATTTCAGATCTACCTATATTTTAGAGTTAAAATATACACCAAAAATTTGTAAAAGAGGGTTTTTTTTTTTTTTTTTTTTTTTTTTTTTTTTTTTTTTTCAATATAGAATTAGATCATAGAAAAAGGTTGTCAGAATACTGAAATTGAAGAATAATGATATAAAAGGAAAATTTTGAAAATTAATATTGGTTAAATTATGATTTATTTTATAAAATACAAAGGTAAAACATATATACTAGTGAAAATATTTGCATAATGTAATATTTTGCATGTCAGTATTGCACCACTGTCGAACGTTTTTAATATAAACTGAATTTTCAGATTCATCACTATCTGCAGAGGAATGCGAGAAAATTCTCATCAGTTTCTCTATAACTATCTTCAATATACTTGAAATCAGAGTCAGAACTACTATCAGTGTTGGAAATATCGTCAGGAATATAGGTTATATCACTCTCAAAACGCTTCCTGCCAGACATCTTTGAGTGCTACATTACGTATTCTTGTACATTTGGCAGAAATGTGGAGAACTAACACCATCTGTTAACCCACATCTAAATAAACAATTAAACATCACAGAAAAGCCAAAAGGAAACCTTGAACGGGGAAAGAACGGGTTGCACAGTTAAATAGATGGCAAAAATTCATCCCCTCGGAAATCGCGGGTCGCGCAAATTTTGCTACTTCTATGTTGCCCGTGGAAATCACGGGATGCGCAGCAAGAGGGTTAATATTAAAATTCTATTATCATTAAAAAACTTTTGACCATCAAAGATTGTCTTGTATTTTCTCTTAAGAAATGATACGATATAATGGAGAGACTTCATCTTAATTAGCACATCTATAGAGTGTCTAAATGTATTTGTTAATTATTTAATAGGATCATCTAGTACACTTCAAGTAAGAAATTATTGTAGGAACTAGTAGAAATAATAGCCTCCAATAAGATGCAGTAATTTCACAGAACTGGCCTTAGTAGTTTTTGATATTAAGAATCAATATTTACAAATCTATCTGCCCTTAATGTTTGTTAGAATGCAAGTTGTTTTGTGTATTAATTTTAACTAGCCCCTTTTTCTTTATACGGTTTCCTCTCTCTCCCTAAATTGTGATAACAGGTTTCTGATTTTATTTTATTTCTTTACCAGGAATTCTCCTCTAGGCTGAGAGCTCAAGCATCACAAGGTATGGCAACTATATTTTTTTATATTATAATGTTAAGTGTAGCTCTCATTTTATTTAATATAATCAAATTTTATGTGATATAAATTCATTGTGTAATTGCTTACTGGGCACTATGGCAAAAATTATTTCTGCTTTATAAAGTTTTGAGGAAAATATCAAAATGCTTAAATTTATTTAGGTAGCATCATCTCTTGAAGATATTATTTATTTATTTTTTTGTTAATATTATAATAATGTTGTTTTAATTCATTATGTATGTATTATTATAAGGTATTTTCTCCTTTTTTTCTGCATGCCTTCATGGTATAAGCACACTCAACGTGTGTTCGAGAGGTCCTGGGCTCATGTCCTGGCAAGGGTGTTGCACATTTTTCACATCTCATGCTTTCAAAATCCTAATGTGGTACCCAAACTGAAAGGGGGAGTATATATTTTAACTAGAAGAATAGGGGGAGTATCCAAGTTATATTCTCCTTCCTTTCCACATGCCTTTGTGGTGTAACTAGAAGCACACTCAACACATATTCAAGATGTCCTGGCAAGGTTTTGAGTCCAGGGTTTGAGTCCTGGCAAGGGCATTGCACATTTTTCACATCTTCTGCTTCAAAATAGCCTAATGACTCAACAATATATATACACACATATATGTAAGATAAAAAATATATAAATCAAAATTATAATTTAAACTAACAGTAAAACATTAATTCTCCCTCTCTGTTTTAAAAATCATAATAACTTCTCTGGATTGTGTCATTTCTGGATCATTTAATGGTCTGCGCAGCTCTGATGATGTAATAATTGGGAACCAAAACTTTTCTCTTACTCTGCTTCCATATTGCATAACTACGCACTTCAGTTTTGCTCTCTGCCCATCTAGGATGTAATTTCGTTGTCTTGTGTGCTATTGCTATAATATCAAATGTGTAAATGTTTTTGAATAATCACACTAGAGTGGCAAGTGAATTGTGGCCACAAACATCAACTGGAAAATAAAAAAATGGAATTAAAGCTGCCCTGACTGCCAAGTTTTTTAGATACTACCAAGTCAACACATTAGCATACTATGCAATCAGAATTCTTCAATATGGATCTTAAGTACGCATCAACAGTGTTCGGGCTTTTCCTTGCTTTTATTATATCATATATATGTAAAGGAAAAACATAAACTAAAAAGCAGTTCAAATCCTAATCCAATTGTGTGCTAAAAGCAGCAACAAGTAGTGATAACAGTGTAAAGTATAAGGTATATCTGTATATTTATGATATAATACAATCTTCCCCTCCTGAAAGTTTGGAGAGACCCCTTAACAAATGTGTGATTCCTGTGAGTTTACTGATATAAATCGTAATGTAACATAGGGTTTATAAATAGTGTAACATAGGGATTCCCAAACTTTTTCTTCCAGCAACCCCTTTCAAAAGATTGGTTTTCTTCATAGACCGCATGTAATATACAGCTATCTACTACCATCTATAATAAAGAGCATACAACATATTCATAATAATGAGAGATTGGAGCAGCAGATAGCTTTTAATGTTCTTGTCAAATATAAAAGGCAAACTTAGATATAAATGACATAAGTGCCATTTGAGCATAACTTCTGTTAACAAGTAACATTTTTTCAACAGCCAGCATGGGTAAAAAAGCCAAATGCAGATGTTGATGTAGATCTGTAGTTTTGCTTTCTTCATATTTTTTAATGTTTTTTCCTTGTGTTCATGAGTTCTAATTTTTTATACTGCACTTATTGCTTAAAAAATTATGTTAAAGAAATAGTATTGTTTTAAAAATGTATTAAATGATTTTTGTATGTTATTTCCCTTCTCTCTTTTTTCTCCTATGAACAATGAATTATAAGCTTTATTGATAAATTTTTTTGTAATCAACGATATCTTGTTTATGCCAATCATTTGCAGATATGTATTTGGCTATCGAACCCTTGGTCATCATTGACCACCACTTGGCCTATATTTTCTTGGTTTTGAGAACCTCTGGCCTAATGAAAATTGCAGAAGATTTTCATTTAATTTAAAATCCTGCGTAATAATCTTTATATTTTTTAAATGAAAAAAATCTGCCTTCTTATGTTTCACTGTAAACCAAAAAGCTGATAGAAATAAATTATGGTATTAATATAACATAGGAATAAATAACATGATTAAAAATTTAAGATAAAGGAGGAAGCAATTGAAAAAACAGTGAAAAGAATGATAAAAATTAAAGACAAAAATAAACATATAAATTGGGTGGGGGAAGGTGCAAATGGGTATTTTTTAACCCCTACTGAAGTTGCAAAATCCATTGAGAAAGTTCAAGCAATTTAAATAACTTGGTCAGGTAAAGTGTATTGAATATTGATTTATTTTTAATCTTTGAATTAAAAGTATGAAATCTTTTTAGATATGTGTATTCATTAAAAGCAATTTCTGTTTAGGTGGAGCTACATTGGGGTATTGCCAAAGTGCTGCAACTGTTGCTAATTGCAGTCCAAGTTCTAGTCCTACCAGAACGCAAAGTGCTCAAGGGTCACCTACAAATAGCCATAAGCCTTGGAGACCTCGAGCACGGTCTGCTGATGAGAGTACCAGAAAAATTGTATGTACTTTTCTGATTTTATATGTTATATATTTTAGATTTAAAATATATATTTATCATTCTGAAAATCTAATTCTTATGAAATAGGTACAAATTATGGTGTGGATTTTTTTAGTAATATTTTGGAGTATGCATTTACATTTATCCCTTCAGGAATTATTTTGTGATATTTGTAGCTATTGTTGTTTGCTGCTGAAAAGCAAGTATATGGGAATTTATAAGGATTGGATTATTCAGCAAGGCCTCAAAAACTTCCATGTACTCAGCCTGTTTAATGGGATATGAGAATGTATTAAGGTGTGATATGCTATGTGTTTCAATAATTTTTAGTCTTTTTTTAAAGAATTGCCGCTTGTAGTTATCTTTTGAGCATCTGAGTTAGGGAATCTCTTCTCATGGGAATATGTAGGCTGTGATTAAAATTATCCGTTGCTGCCAAATTCCACCAATTTATATTTTAAAACTAAGTTCATTGCAGAAAATATCACAATTCGTTTATGAAAGCTGCTAGAACATGGAATTTGTTTATGAATGCTGCTAGAACATGGAACATGGAATATCAGAATTTGTTTATGAAAGCTGCTAGACAATGAAAAAGAATACATATGAAAATGGCGGTGTTGCTTGATTAAAGGATTGTTTTGAGCATCGTTGGAAGAATGGTCTTGTGCATGGTTGCCAGAGTTTGGCACATTCTGAAAATTTGTCGACTTCTACTAAGGTGGTTGCATTAATATGCAAGTACCTACATTTTGATAATAATTAGTATAAGGTAGTTTTGTTTTATTATAAAAATTAGATCTCTTAGTTGCTTGTAAGTTGTTCGAATGGCTCACATGCAATTTGAGTTTGAGGTCCAGACCAATGGCTTAGATAGTAGGCGAAAATCTCTCATGTAAAGGTGTCGATTTCAGCTTTGTATCCATGTTTGACATAAGAACAAGGTATAATGTTCAGAAGAACAACCAATTTACTAGTGTTACGTGATTATATATTATTGCAGCTTTAATAAGTAATAATTATCGCATTGTCTTAAATATATCTCAGCATAGTGGTGTAATGTGCAGTCTGCTTTATGTTCTTTCAAACCTGGAAAAAGGATAAAATTGCATTAGTGCACTTTAGGCACGTAGTACATGCTTTATGTTTTTTTAAATCTGGAAAAAGGATAATATCGCTTTAGTTCATTGGGGCATATTTGATAGTCATGATGACATTAATATTGGTGTCAGATATTTCATGCTTAATTCTGAATGTAGCAAATACATTAGTGATCATGTGACTTGATCATAACCTTTAATCTGTTAACTGGGTATGACGAAATTTTTCGTCATGCTGGGAAGACTATTTCAATGCGTATGACGAAATGTTTCGTCATGCTGGGAAGACTATTTCAATGGGTATGATGAAATAATTCATCATGCTGGGAAGACTATTTCAATGGGCATGACGAAATTTTTCTTACATTTTTTTGCAATCTGTCACTTGACCGTTGTTCAAGAAAAATCGATCAATGGAAACACTTGTCCGCTCATAAATTGTGATAACACTCCTAATTTGCACAACTTAATTTCATTTTAGTCTGCATTTCAGTATTTTACATATTAGTAATAACTTGTTGATTTGAGTAATTGTTAGTTTTTTTTATAAATATGGCTAAAAATTATTGTGAAGCAGAAAATATTTTTTTGAATTGTCTGAAAGTGACGATGAAATATTGCCCGGGAGGTTTGGTAAACGACGTCGAATTCTAAGAATAAGTACCAGTTCGGAAGAAAGCGATAACGACTTCTTTACTGATGGTCCGGACATTGAATCAAAGGATGATGATGTTATAGACCAAAATACTCAACCGACATCAGCTGAATGGAAATGTGAAAGAATATTGCGATCGCCTTTCCCGTTTTTATCTCAATCTAGACTTACATTTGAAGGACCTGAAGAAAAGGATTGCCTTTTTTTATTTTCGAGAAATTTATCGATGAGAATTTTGTAGAACTTATTGTGGAACAATCAAACAAATACCGGACAGTTTTTTGAAAAAAATACTTCCATGAAACCGCGTTCAAGATGTCTCTCGTGGGTTGACACAGATGACCGAGAGATGAGAGTATTTATTTTTTTACTAATTTTGCAAGGAAATAATAGGAAAACCTTCTTATCAGCTTTATTTCACAAAGCGAGAAAGTCTGGAGACTCCATTTTTTTTTATAAAATTATGTCAGAAAAAAGATTCCAACTGTTAGTAAAATTTTTACATTTTAGTGATAACAATGCTTTCGATCTAAAAGTGTGCAACAAAAAAACCTACAAAATCGATTTCCATTTTGAACTATTTGAGAAACAAATTCAAGTTGTTATATGTACCAGATAAGGAAATATCTGTAGATGAGTCTCTTTTGCTATGAAAAGGAAGACTGTTCTTGGAAACAGTACATTCCATCGAAAAGAAATCGATTTGGTGTTAAATTGTATAAGATATGTGAAAGTAAATCCGGATACATAAGTAATTTCATTGATATTCAGGTAAAGACGTGCTGTATGGTTCGAACTATCCAGAAGAACAGGGACCAAATCGTATTGTTCTTGAATTGTGCCACGATTTGTTGGATAAGGGATATACGCTATATCTCGATAATTGGTATACTAGTACTGATCTAGCTGAGAAGATGTGCAGAAGAAAAACCGATGTTGTAGGAACAATGCGAAAAAATAGAAAGGGAATACCATCTGATATCAAAAATTGTGTTTTGAAAAAAGATAAACATATTGCTAGGTACAGAGACAAAATAATGATTATGAAGTGGAAAGACAAAAAGGATGTAATTATATTGAGTACTATCCACGACAATAAATTTGTAGAAATAGAAAAACGAAGGAAAACGATATCAAAACCGGAAGTTATCGCTGACTACAACAAAAATATGGGAGGAGTTGATCTTGCTGACGGACAAATGAAAACTTATGAAATCGCTAGAAACCAAGTAAAAAAGTATTACTATAAGATATTTTTACATGCACTAGACATGGTGGGTTTGAATGCATATCTTTTATACAAGAAAGATGGCGGGCACCTAGATAGGCTTCATTTCCTTATCGAAACTGTAGAAAAAGGTGTTGAAAAATATAGAGACGGATCGCAGTTTCCATCTACTAGTACAGGACGATCATCTTTGACACCAAAACCATCTCGACTCTTTTGAAAGACATTTTGCAGACTATATACCATCCGACTCTTCAAGAGTTAAATGTAACGAGGAGATGCAATTATGCTATTCCAAAGGTCTTAGGGAAAGAATCGAGATTTTGGTGTCCCGACTGCAGTGTTGCTTTGTGTATGCCGCATTGCTTTAGGGAATATCATACGAAATAATTGTTTAAATTTGTTCAATTAATTTGTTTTTCTGGATTAAAAATGTTTAATTTTAATATTTAATATCATTAAATATTTTAAAACGATTTTCTTTTATTTATTCTTTGCGATGTGCTGAAATTACTGCAAAGGAAAAAGGTCCCCCATTGTGAAACGATTTTACTGAAAACTTATTCCCCAGTTAACAGGTTAAATCAAGAGATCCTGATTTTTTTTTTTTTTTTACACACTTCATATATATGTGTGTGTGGTGCTACTAAATGCAAACTTTTTAATTGCTTCATTATTTTATTTTCTGAAAAACATCTTTTTGACCAATGAATTATTTTAGTACATATTATCTCATCTGTGAAAATATTAGCATTGTTTACCAACAATCTCATTTTGGTGCCTGCCAGAAACTTTCAGTAGTGCTTAGGATCGGAGTTGTATTTGATTTCTAATATGATAGAATCTTAATTTAGAAGTCAAACAACAAAAATCAGCGTTATATTTTCACCAGGACTAGTTTTGATGGTTTTACCGAACCGTCATCCTCAGCTGCAAAAGCGCAAATAAACGAGATATATAATGATTAGATCATGTAATCATGATGAACATCCTCAGCTGCAAAAGTGCAAATGAACAAGATAAGATATAATGATTAGATCATCTAATCATTATGATCTAATCATTATATCTTATCTCATTCATTTGTGCTTTTGCAGCTGAGCATGATGGTTCGGTAAAACATTCGAAACTAGTCTTGTGAAAATTTGAAAATTTGAAAATATAATGCTGATTTTTGTTGTTTGACTTAATTAATATTTGTCCGGCGTGTTATTTTATCTTAATGATAGAATCTTTTAAAAGTATGGAAATAGAGTAATTTCAAATTATTTCAAAAGGGAAAGAAAACTAATGCTAAATATAATTTTGTTGTAATGATTACTTATATATTTGTTACGTTTATTATATTATTTCATGATTCTTCATTCTTTAAACAGTTGTCAGGTAAGAAATGAAGTAGTCATCATACATCATAAGAATTAGATTAGCTGTAAATGCATCTTCATTTTTATGCAGATGTTACAAGATGATTTCTATGAAAACAATCGTGCAATTGTAAATCATAATTTAATACCATTCACTAGGAAAACTAGGTGTAGAAAGGTTTGCTGGGAATTATTTTTACTGTGTAATTAAATGCGTAATCTTTGGTGAAAAATTAATGGTTAATGGCAGCAGCATTTTTAACAGTGACAAGGTAATATGTCAGACCCCTCTTTTGTATAATTCAGAATATATATTTTTGGCCATCTTCCCTCCCCCCTTTTTTGTGAATGATACATTTATTTTCAACTGAGTAACTGTTGAATTCAAGTTTTATTGGGTGTTAATTTCATAGGAGAAAACAACTGATAGAGTGCTTATTTTTTTAATGCTCTGTGAAATGCATTTACCCTCTTTTTGTTGAGTTCAGGTTTCATGACAATCACAGCCATATAAACATTTAAATTTTATCTACAAAGTGCTAGTTTACTTTAGCCTTTAATTTCTTTTTTTTGTCCATGTACGTAATGCAGATCTTCAAAATGTTTTTTGCTAATTATGTGTTTTTCTATCAGAGGGCTCCCAGAGAATCAATCGAAGATTGGGAAATACCTGCAAATGAAATTCAAACAGAACATAGGATTGGAGCAGGATCCTTTGGAACTGTTCATAAAGGGCATTGGCATGGTAATTTTGTTATATATTTTGAATTTTCTTTTATGCATTTTCTAAATTTGATTTTTGAAGTATATATTTTAACGGTGTATTGTTAAAAGCTGTTAACAAAAAGTGTTTTACATTTGCAGTTTTTTTCTCATAATTTATGTGGCCTTAAACTGTAATTATAAAAAATTTATGAATTTTTTAATATGATATTTTAATTTTTGATATGAACACTTTTTAATTCAGTATTTTGTTTAATTTTTAAGTATTTTTATATAGCTGAGTATATAGATATATATATACAGTACAAAGTCTGTAATCTGGACGTCCATTATCCGGAATGATCTATAATCCGGACCTCAAGGCCACAAACTTTTTTTTTTGTATGTTTTACGCATGCGTATAGGTTTTCGCATGCTCGTTTAATGTTACGCATGCACGTTTAATGTTTACGCATGCGCGTTTAGCACAAAAAAACGAAGCAATTTAAACAACTTATATTGAAAGAAATTTTTAATAAAGTAAACAAATAAATATTAAGCTCTTTTTTTGTAATTTTTGATACCCTTTAGATCATAATTGCTCTTTATTTCATAAATTATGATTTCATATTTTTAATTGTATAATTTCTGCATGCCATCTTACCAGATTTAAATTGATGATCTATTATTCGGAATCGCTGAAGTCCCGACTAGTCCGGATTACGAACTTTATACTGTATACAGTCAAAATTTGTTAATCCGGACTCGTCAGGACTTCGGCGATTCCGGATTATCGATTTTTCCGGATTATAGATCATCAGTTTAAATCTGGTAAGATGGCATGCAGAAATTATAAAATTAAAAATATGAAACAGTAATTTATGAAATAAAGAACAATTATGATCTAAAAGGGATCAAAATTTACAAAACAAAAAAACAAACAAAAAGAAGAAAAAAAAGGTTAATATTTATTTGTTTACTTTATTAAACATTTCTTTTTCATGCGCAAGTTGTTTAAAGCATGCTTCGACATTATGTAAAATATTGCTCTTTAATTCTATAAACTAGTTTACTATCGGATATATATAATGACGAGGAATTTGATTTTAAATCATATCAAAGACGGAGTACATCGAGATGAAATACTACATTTAGTAAGGAATTATAAGCCAAATAAAATAAAAACATCTGCCCTGAAGATAAGGATAGTGCTGACAGATCAACTTCCAGTTCATTGCGCTCGCGGCGTTTTCCTCCCCCCTCTGCAGAGCACCGTGAAATTGATAAACAGATTTCGAATGGTTAGGATCCATTTTTGCAGCAATTCCACTTTTGTTTAATGGACTTCGAAACATACTTTCGCTTTGTAGATCCTTTATATATTAGTAAATATATATCGGAAATTCTATTTGACATAATTGAAAGTTCAAGCTTACTTTTATAAAATTGCTCGAACATTCTGCAAAAAATAATAAACCAGATCCAATTCGAAGATTAAGGAACAATGCAATCTGCAACATTTTTAGCTTAGCTTATACCATCCGTTATACATTAAACGCGCATGCGTAAACGTATTTTGCGCATGTGCACACACATATTCGCAGCCATAAAGATCTTACGTGCATGCGCAGAAAGTTTGTAGCTTTGAGGTCTGGATTATAGATCATTCCGGATTATGGGTGTCCGAATTAATGACTTTTGACTGTATATATATGACAGTTATTATATTGTGCAGCATTTAGTAATTTTAGCATTTAACTGTATGGAATAAATTCTTCGAATTTCATGTGATAGAATAGAATATTATAACTTTCCAAAAATGGGCATTTCGCGAAAGGTGTAGAAGATAATGTATAATTTTCATTGGCTTATTCCCCCCGCCGTTAATCTGTATATTTATGTATTAAATAAATGTTCTTAGTAAAGGTCTTGAAATATTTTTGTACACCTAATAATTTTCTTAATCTATGTAATTAATTTTATTTATTTATTTTTTTATTTTATTTTTTTTTTTTTTTTTTTTTTTTTTTTATTTTATTTTATTTGTATGTGTTGCTTTAAAATGAGTTTCTATTGCTTTGAAGTTAAATGGGTAACTAATATTTTTGTTTTTATACAAAAACAACATGCTTCATTTTTGTAATAGAATCTGCCGACGGGTAAAGTCTGCTAGTTTTCTGTGTGAATTGACTGTTTCAGAAATAATATAAATTTTTGTATCAGCTATTTTAAGTTACAGATTAATTTTATGTTTGCTTGATTCATCATTTGGTGTAAAATTTTGTGAATTATATTTTGATATGAACATGTATGGACAATATATGAAGGAAGATTAGTATATAGGTTACAGACTGCTGGTGGATAAACAGAAAAAATCATGATTAATTTAACACTTTTGCTATGGGTGCCTCAGTCACCAAACCATTCCCTTAGGATGCCATGCTAACAGGACAGGAAAAAAATATGCATAAATTAAAACTGTAGTCTATTTGTTCCAGTTTCTCACACATTATGAGAGGAACACTCTGGTAGCTGTCAGAATTAAATTGAAAACTATCCTTTCATTTTCAATTAGTTTATTAGTCCCTGAGGGACTTTGTTTTCATTTTGCGATTTTGCATCGAATCACACTGAGTATCTGTTTCACTTTTCAAATTGTTGCCAACAAATATTATTGCCCGGTATTATATTTGAAGAAATTAAATAATGAAGAATCTGCATAAATTAAATTTTTTATTAACAAACTCAACGATTTCAAAGCGAGCAATGGCAATACTGTACTGGGGGGGGGACATTTTTATCTCCAGCACGTGAGACTGTGTATCAGAAATTCTAAAGATATGCTCATTTTAAAATTATTTTGTGATATTGCTCTTGAACTGAATTTTAGGGTTTAAGTGTGAAGAACATGCTATTTAATAAATAAAAGTAACACACAAAATAGTAAACAAAAAAAAAAAAAAAAAAAAAAAAAAAAAAAAAGCTTTTTTGAACATAATTTAAAATTTGAAACCTTTCACATTTATCTTTTTTTAATATTAAATTGTTAAATATGAAATATGTTAAAATATTCACCTCAATCCTAGCCAAACTCTAAGCGGAATGAATAAATCTTCTAAAACAATGCTGCATATATCCTCATATCGCCAAAAATTAAAAGCATTCTGAATCATCCTTGTGTGTTTATATCAGCTGACACAGTTAATAGCCAGCTCTGTTTATTTACATTATTCAAGATATGGTTTTGGCTTTGTTTCCGAAGCAAGGGGAGAAGTCGCCCTCTTTTTAGTTTTATTATTAAGCATAATTTTCTTTGCACTTATGCCGTATACAATTCAACAGCAAAATTACAAAAGTTTTAAAAGCAGGATAGCAGTGTACGTTTAGAATTCTCAATGCAACATTAGGTGTTGGTGTACATTTTTCTATTTTTTCGTTCTTTTCTCATGTCAGTCTCTTCCCCCCCCTCCAGTTTTCTCATTTTTTCAGTCTCTTTTAGACATTACTGATGACTTTTTTGTCTTTTTATTATTAACGTTTTGTGTGTTAACTTTGTTTATTAAATATCTCGTTCTTCATGCTTATGCCACATAGCAAATATCTAAAAGCAGCATATTATTAGAATTTCTAATAGAGTTTGCCATACATTATTTTTTATAGTTACTATATTATTCCTTTGAGAACTAGCGGCTTTTCATAGCCAGCTGTTTAAAATAGTTATAAAAGAAGTTAGATTTCAATATGTCTAGCTAGTGTAATTTCATAAAAATATTGGTTATTTATAAGTAGATACCTCATTTTAATACATGTTTATTTAAATCAATCACATTAAAAAGTAGATAAAGTATTCTTGAGAATTGTGTTTATTGCTTTTAAAATTCTTAAATCACTTATTCCTCAATTACCGTCCAGATTAAGTATCTTACGCTTTTTTGAATGGCAACAGGCTGGCATGTGGTCAGCCACAGCAATGCGCTGCTTTCTAAAAATATTTTATTTTTAACAGTGTTGCCACTGTTTGCTTTCAAACCTTTGAATTTGTTAATTAAAAATTCATTAAAATTTTACAAAATATATTATAAATTCAAAATTTGAGCTTAAAGGTGCACATGTTTGAGTGGAGGTCTACATTATTCAAAATTTATTTAACAGTCAGTTTAAATGATGATTCATATATCACACATCCTGCTCAGAGTTATAGTTGGCTGCTCATGCATATGTGACACACTGGTCCCGAAAAATTTAATGCAGTTTAACCAGGTAGTAATATAGTCATATTTCATAGTGAGGTTTACTTTCTCATTATGAAAAATGACTGTGTTGTTATTGAGAATGTGTCAAGACAGTGTGAAAGTGGCTCCTTACTATGCTGGCGGAATGTATATGGAAAAACAGTGGTCTGAGGTGCATTTTTTTATGCTGCCAGTTCATTCTGGAGGTGAAAAGTAAATTTGGCTGTTGCATCATACAGTGCATATAATATTACAACCTTGGATTGCTATGCACCATAAACATCCAATCCTACTGAGGCACAATGTAAGGCTTGGATGCAGCATGTGTTGAGACCGTCATACATTGATGGATAAACGTCTGAATGCAATTGAAATCATGTGAGAACATAAACCTGATTGCTATATAAGTATTTCATGCAGTTTTATTTTTCTAACCATATGTTACCTAATTGCCGACAATCATTTTAATATATATGCTTCGATGGAATTCTTTTCAAACTCTGGGAAATAGGAATGTTTATTAAATATTTTCACTCTTCGAGATCTAATTTTAATTCTTAATGTTTAAAATTTAGAATATTCCATTTGCACTGATGAATGTCATAATACAATTGTGAATGCTTTACTAATTTCGATCTGTTATTAGAAACTACATTTTCAGATTTTGATTACGATAGTGAATTAGTAACCAAAGAAGAACAAATTCCCCAAAATGCAGTTTCAAAGCATTACCACTTATCCTTTCCACAAAATTGACAGTTAATAAACTGTTTAAATTTGGCAGCTAACCAAAACTTGCATTCCAAGAGTTCAATCACTTGTGTACATAAACATTAAATAAACAATATGAATGCATTATCATCAGTTGTGAACAATAATAATGTGTAAAACCTTTTGAAGGTTCTCATGTAATTTAATAGAATCATTTTTAAATGATCTAAAACAATTATTTTAATTCAATAGCATTGTGAATGACATTTGCAAGGTTGTATTTAATAGGCTGTGCTAAAAGTTTTGTAAATTCTCTGCAGAATATTAAACCTTTAAATATATTAAAAGAATATTTGTTTGAAAAATTTTATTCTAAAATTATGTGCTTTTTATATCATATCCATATATTGATTCTGTGCGTAGCTCCTTTTCAGTCTGAAATAATTTTAAGACTTTGGTAAGGCCTAGTCATCTAGCATATATACTGAAGAATTTATTCCATGAAACAAAAAGATAAAGATGAGTTGAAAATATACCTATCATGACAGAAAATAGTCCACTTATTTTATAAAAATATTACTTTACCTCTAAGAATTTATTCAAATTTCTGTTTCTACATTTTGTTTCTAAGTATAATTTTTGGCCAGTAATAAACTAAACAGTGTTTGAATTATTTAATGCAAATCATTTTCTTTTGCAGAAACATAAGTCAGGAGTGAATCGCTTGGTATTAAATTTAATATTTTAAAGAAATTGTATATAGTTTTTTTCCTACTTCAAAAGAGCTTAAATTTACTGTTAAAATATTATTTATGCAAATATTGAAAAAAGGGAAAGTTCATTTTCTCAAAAAATCACCATACAGTGTCTCACAAAAGTGATGGGACACTTGTGCTTTACAAAAAGAAACTGTAATAAAATAAATTAAAAAAACATGTAAAAAGTTTTTTGTGGGTGTGTTTCATACTTAAATTTAGTAACAATTATTACACAACATTCATTTTCTCAAAATATTAAAATAGTAATTTAATAAAAATACAATTGTTTAGAACAGAGCAAAAAATGGCTCGCATAAGTGATGGGACACCATTAGATATTACTACGTACTGCAATAAAATATTTTGGGGGGTTTTTATTTTTACTCAAAAGCAATTGGCAATAATTTATAAAATTGTCTGCTGTCTTTCTCTCCAGTTTGTTTTGGAATTTTTGTGTTTTTTAGCTCTGTGCAGCCATGAATGCTAAACGAAAAGAAACTTTGCCTGAAATTCAAAAATTAGTTATTAATTTGCATATTGAACGTGGAAAATCTATTAGAGAAACTGCTAACATAAATCATTTAACAGTTTTCAATATCATTAAACGATATATAAAGAATCATATGATTCAGGATAAAAGAAGACCTGGCCGACCATGAAAGCTATCCAATGGAATAAAGCGAATTATTGTTCAAAATATTTTAAAAAAATCCAAGAATGAGTGTTCCTAAAGTTGCTGCTGATTTACAAGCATTATATGGAGTAATTGTTAATTCTGAGATTATTAGAAGAGTAATTCGATCTGCAGGATATCACGGTAAAGCAGCCAGGAAAAAATTCTTTGTAAGTGAAAAGAATAGAAAACTCAGACTGGCTTTCGCAAAATCCAACATAAATAAGAACTCCGATTACTGGAATGAATTTATATTTGCTGATGAGAGTAAATTTAATATATTTGGTTCTGACGGTAGAATCTTGGTGTTGAGAAAACCCAGGAAAGAATTTTGCAAACAGAACTTGGTGCCAACAGTAAAACATGGGGGAGGAGTTATGGTATGGGTGTGTATGTCGTCCGCTGGAGTTGGTAATCTTGTTTTTATTGACAGTATAATGGATCACTACAAGTATATTGACATTTTAAATCAAAATTTGAAATCTTCAGCACGAAAATTGATCCTTCATAATGATTTTAAATTCTACCAGGACAATGACCCCAAGCACACTGCTTTGAACGTTAGACTCTGGCTGCTGTATAACTGTCCTAAAATAATAAAAACACCACCACAATCTCCAGACTTAAATCCCATAGAGAATATTTGGCAAGAATTGGCATCAAGAATTCGCAAACACACCATTTCTTCAAAATAACAATCAAAATCATTGCTTCAAGAATAATGGGGTAAAATCACTCCAGAAATCAAAAAAAAAAAAAAAAAAAAAAAAAAAAAAAAAAAAAAATTAGTCGAATCCATCCCAAGAAGATTAAATCACGTTTTAAAAGTAAAAGAAAATCCAACAAAATATTAAAACATTTTAAGAAGTAAAATTTTTGTATAAGTATTTGATGGAAAAGTAAGTGTCCCATCACTTACTTTTCCATCAAATATTTAGCCATTTTTTGCTCCGTTCTAAACAATTGTATTTTTATTAACTTACTATTTTAATATTTTGAGAAAATGTATGTTATGTAATAATTGTTACTAAATTTAAGTATGAAACACACCCACAAAAAATTTTTACATGTTTTTTTAATTTATTTTACTACAGTTTCCTTTCGTAAAGCACAAGTGTCCCATCACTTTTGTGAGACACTGTATCTTGCTTTTTTTAAATATGAAGTCCTTTCTGGTAATAGCCATAGGAAGCCTTTGACAACATTTGGAATTTCCTTGCTACAGATTGGGAGATCAAATTTGTCAATTTTAGCATCTTAATTGCAATGGCCTCTTTTACAAGGAAGTACTAATAGTTCTTATATTTAATATATGAGTGTTAATCTTATTATATTTTATATAAATTTAGGCCCTGTTGCACTGAAGAAATTAAATGTTACTAATCCCACTCCTGCTCAGCTTCAAGCTTTCAAAAATGAAGTTGCTGTTTTAAGGTAAGTTTCTGAAAAATATTATGCAAAATTAATTTTATGTATGATTTTTATTATGTATAGTATAGTTAAAAAAGAGCCTAGTTTATGTCAAAACTATTAAAACCAATGTATTAGATTTTGTTCCTATATTTTCTGAGTGCAAAATATGAATCTTGTGATGTGGAGGGGTGAACCATAAGAGAAAAATTCTATATCCCCTCCCCCCCAATGGCTTAAAAATAAGCTTTTTATTGGTTTTAAAATAAGTGCATTTATTTGAATAGGGGTCATACTGAAAAACTGCATTGTAATTTTGATGAAAATGACGAAAAAAAATTAAACTTAAAACTGACAACTTTGAAAACATCTGTTGTTGTAAGAAGTTTTACTTCCCATTAGAGAGTTTAACCCCCATGCTTAACTTTCCCTCAATAAAGTGATAAAATTGCCATTTACAGATGTGCAGCTTTATATTTTATACCAATTTTATCTTACAATCATTAAATACTGAAAAACTTCTTATCATGTGCATTTATTTATATTGTGTTGAGTATTTGTTACATTTAAGGGACATTTTATAAAGTACCCACATGTAATTTTTTAAAAGAGTTCCAGTGTTAAGTAACAGAGAAATACATTAACCCGTAACAGGGGACGTGCGGTCTGACGGACCGCGCCACATGTTCCTCCCATCACGCCTATTCCATGCTTTGTCCAGTTGAATGGATTCTTCCCCTAGCTTCACGTTTCGTGACCTTCTTTCTGACCCCTTCTTATCGGAATGCTTTGGCAAGTGTATCTGTTGAAATTCTTCTAGAGCGGTCTGTGAGACCTCACCTCCCTCTCAGTGTTACAATTTTCGGCGTAGTGAACACATGGCTCTGAAGTTAGGTCCGCGGAGATTCATTTCCTTCTGATCCGCGTTATGCAGAAGAACTAAAAAAAAATTCTAGACGAAGTTGGAAGTGATTTTAGTGAAGAAAATGACTGTGAAGAAAATTTCTGCAAAAGTGCCCACTCAACAGACTCTGAATTTTCTGCAGACAGCAATGATTTCTCTGATCTAGAAACAACTAATTCCGTAAAATACTACTATGGAAAAAATCGGTTCAAATGGTCATCCGTTGAACCAAATCGAAAAGTTAGAAGGCCAGCTCACAATATCGTAAGACTTCCTGGACTAAGACCTTAAGGAAAAATTGATAATTCAGATCCAAAAAATGTATGGCAACTACTTTTTACTGAAGAACTTTTAAGCATAATTGTGAAATGGACAAATCTAAAAATTGAAAGAAAAATAAAAAATATATGTGGTCCGATTAAAGGTGAAATTGACTACACCTGTGTTGATGAACTGAGAGCTCTTTTGGGTTTACTTATTTACACATCAGTCTTCAAATCCAATCATGAAGATATTGAATGTTTATTTGCCACGGATGGAACTGGCCGCGATATTTTTCGTGCAGTTATGTCAATGAAACGTTTTAAATTTTTACTTTCAAATTTGCGATTTGATAACCCAGATGATAGGGAAGAACGAAAGAAATCTGATCCGGCAGCACTTATTTCTGAAGTGATGAATTTATTCATTTATAACTCCCAGAAAGCTTACACATTAGGCACTTGCGTCTGCATTGATGAAATGCTTGTTGGATTCAGAAGAAAGTGTCGCTTTAAAATGTATATGCCCCAAAAGCCTGTGAAATATGGATTAAAAGTTATGTGTTTGACTGATGCCCGGAATAATTATGCTTACAATGCATATCTTTATTGTGGAAAAGACTCTGATGGAATTAGCGTAGAAGAGAGTTGGAAAAAATTCAGCAAACCAAGTCAAGCTGTTCTGCGTTTGAGCAAACCAATTTTTAATACGAACAGGAATGTAACAGCAGACAATTGGTTTTCTTCCATAGAACTTACCACAGAATTGTTGAAAAATGGACTGACATACGTTGGAACTGTTTAAAAAAATAAAAAAGAAATTCCGAAAGATTTTCTTCCATGTAAGTCAAGAAAAGAGAATTCAACATTGTATGGATTTACTAAGGACATAACCTTGATTTCATTTGTTCCAAAGAAAAGGCGAGCAGTGGTTTTGATGTCATCATTGCATCATTCGATAGAAACAGACTCGGAAACACAGAAACCTGAAATAATTGGTTTTTATAACAGAACCAAAGGTGGTGTTGATGCTTTAGATGAAAAATGTTCTGTCCATTCCTGTAGTAGGAGAACAACGCGTTGGCCTATGGCTCTTTTCTACCGGTTAGTAGATATGAGTACAGTAAACGCATACATTTTGCACCAAGGTTATAACCAAAACCCTGTTATGACCAGAATGGTGTTTTTGAAAGAATTAGCGAGAGAATTAGTCCAACCACTACTACACACGAGAGTGAAAAATCCAAGAATAAATCGAGAATTGCGCCTGACGATAAAGCGGATTTTAGGAAAAGAAGCTGAGTCTAAGGATGTGGAGCAGTGCACAAAAGAAGCAAAATTAAAATCAAGGAAAACATGTCGTCTGTGCCCCCCAAGCAAGAAAAGAAAGACAGCATATTTATGTTTATCTTGCCAAGACCCTGTTTGTTTGGAATGCACGCAAAAGTTATGCAATGAATGTGCTAAAGAAGACGAAAACTAAATTGTTTACTATCAGAAAATCAGTGAGATACTGATATTTCAGGTACTGTCAAAATTTTTCTGTATTGTGCTACATACAATTTTCTCCGGTTAAAATTTGCTTTAAATATTAAATAATATAGATAAAATAGTTAATTCAAAATAGATGCATTCTTATTTTTAGTTTTATAGAATTTAGTGCAGCATATGATTTTTCATTTTCATCGAAAAATTTAAGGCTATGGGGAAATTTTCTGGGAAAAATTTAAATTTCACTTTAAAGTGTAAAAACATATTTTCTTTTCAGAGTAAAATATTCAAAGAACATCTAAGTGAAATATCATGATGATATTTTAATTAGACGATTTTTAAAAAATATTATGATGCACGGTCTCTAAGGCCGCACGTCCCCTGTTGTGTTCAACTTTTTCACCTCCCCTGTTACAGGTTAAAATAGTTAACTTTGATAGGAATTTTATATTAAATTCCCCCCCCCAAAAAATAAGAGGTTAATTTTATGCAAATTGATTATTAGTTGTTTTAGTTTGTTTATGTAGGCATTATTCAGTGCATGTTCTTAAGGGAAGTTTTTAAAATGAGGTTCTTTCGTAAATTTTCTTAATTATTTGCATTAATTGCATTAACTTAGTGATGTTAACTTCTTTCTTAATAAAGTTGATTTTAATTATGTAATCACTGGTAACTTGTGAATTTATTTGAATTTTCATGAGCATTATTATTCATGTTGAGAATATTTAATTACTGGATGATGATTATTCAGTAATAGCTGTGTCAAACTGTATCTTCTATAAATTCTGTAAAGTGGTTTAAGAAAGTCTTGTAATGCCTACATTATTTAAATATTCTAAGAGTTTTCTACCTACTTATTCAGATCTGTAGAAATTTTTACTGCATCATGTATTTTCTTTCATAATCTTTAGCTAAATACCTATAAGCTATAAGTACCAGTGTTGGGATAAAAGAATTGTTTTCATAATGCAATAAAATGATGCAAAAGTGAAAAATTGTACCAGTCAATAAAATCAACATGTTTATTTGTATTAAGAAAAGTGTAAATATAAGTACTTGCCCTAATCATAATAATGTATCATAATTTTGAACTGCTAATAATATAATTTTTCATTATTTTTGTTTGTGATCGTGTTAGGGTTATTAGAGAAAGTTAAACAACAAGAATCAGAGTACTATTTGAAATTCTGCAGGACTAGTTTCAATGGTTCTGTATTTAAACCATCGAAACTAGTCCTGCGAAATTTACAAATAATACTGACTCTTGTTTAATTTCTCCAATAATCATTATTTGGCATGTTATTTTATCCTAAACTCTTGTTAGGGAAACTCTTGCTACTAAAGAAATTATTCTTTATTATTATAGGAAAACTAGGCATGTTAATATACTACTATTTATGGGATATGTTTCTCAACCACAACTGACTATTGTAACACAGTGGTGTGAAGGATCCACTTTATACAAGCATCTCCATGTGCATGAACATAAATTTGAAATGTTAGAATTGATAGATATTGCTAGGCAAACTGCACAAGGCATGGAGTAAGTATTAAAACATATGTATTCAATATGTATTTTATAGTGTATGTAATTGGTTAAAAAAGCATGAACTGGGGCACTGCATGAAATAAATATATTGTATTCCTATTAATTACCTAAACACCTGTAAAAAATTGCTAAAGCGGCTATAGGGTCAGTATGTTTGCCACTATCAGGCACCTAATGTGAAAGACAAAGACTTTGTATATTAAATTAGATACTGAAAATATGTAATTTTTGTGTCTGCCAATAACACAAATGCTAGATGTCTGCAACATGACAAGCAGCTCTGTAACAGATTTGGGTTTAGCCTGGATCTTGACCATCCCTCATCCCATAGGTATTCAAATGAATAAGATCTGAAATTTGGGTTGACCAATCAAATTCAGTCTCTTATATTTCCTCAAATCATTTAAATAGCTTTATAAAAGATGATGTAAAAAATGATGAAAGACACTTCTGCATTGTTACTGTAGGAGAGGTAGCATACAATTAATTGTCCAGTATTGCATTATTCGATTTAATATTCAATTTCCCCTTCCCCCAAATTCTTCAAGACCAAACTAAGGAAAGTATACCTATGCCACTGTTCCTTTTCTGACAAATTTCAGATTCAGAATGTTGAACTCTGTTAAATGTCAGCCTGGCATTGGAATGCCACTACATGTTTATCTGATCCCTTGCTTCACATGATGCTGATCCACAGGAGATGTGTTTTACACCACTTTACTCAGCAGCAGGCATTCAATGTAGTGATCATTGGTTTATGTGCTGCAGCTTGCCATTGGAATTCAAATGCAAATGCCTCTTGAGAAATAGTGCAAGTATTTGCATCTCTTCAAATGTAATGTGAAGGTAAATAGCCATGTTTTCTAAAAAGCTTAGTTTTACCTTCAATGCCCACCACAATAATTGAGGCATCTGTCAGTTTTCCCCTCTACCCTGTTATAGTTCCGTTTGAGCATCCTTAACCCCCTTCACATTTTCATTTCAATTTAATATCGTTCATTGGTGCATGCATCTGAAACATTGGAGAAATCTTGAAGGTGGAATCACCAAATTGATGGGCACTATTGATCGTTCCCCCTTTCAGCTTTTTCAGTTGAGTCTTCTCATATGTCTACTTTGATAGCTGTAGCTAGCCAAGCACTCATAGTCTCTTTATAGGCTGACATCATAGATTGTTGATATATGGCTAATTCTAATTTTTTTTTCATCAGATATCGAGTCAGTGATAATAGTGTAGAGTATTTCTCACATCACTGATGAAACTTTTTTAATTACTAATGGGGTTTCTAGTATGTGGTACTTTTGCAAAATGTAATAGTCATTATGGTAAAATATATATAATTTTTTCATATTGTAAATGTTTTAAAGAATTTATTTAGTGTTTTAAATCCTACTTTAACAAAAAAAAAAATGCAAATAAAATTATATTTATTTTGAGATTAAGTATTAAAAGAGCAAAATTTATATAAAAAAGTATTTTTTAAATTTTTTTCTCTTATTTTTATTTACTTATTTTTCCAAATTTCAAGAAATAAAATAAAATGATTTCTTTGATCATATTCTGAATTACCTGTAAACTACTGATTTTCAAATCATTTTTAAACTTCATATTATATAAGTTTATCAAGAAAATGCTATTTCATTAAATATGTTAAAACATTTTTAAGTTCGTGATTGTTTAATAGAAACATTAAGTATTCCATTTTGTATTTTTGATCATAAGTTTTCAAATAAGTCCAGGGTAAAGAGCTCTGTAAGAATCATTTAAGCCATACATGAAAAAATTAAGTGAACTAGTTCCTTTTAATTTCATTGATTAGTGTACATGATTTTATTACATCTTTGTTTTATTTTAATTGGAGAAGATATAATTTTATATGTTGGCAACATGGTCCTTTTTATTGGATGGGGGCTTATGTAAGTTCTTTGGAATTTTTTTAAAATAGTATACATGACTACTTTTTCTAATAAATTCATTTGTGTCATTTCTCATTCTCTGTATAATTTTAACTTCTTTGCACCATTCTGAAATATTATCTTCTATAATAGAGAAGAGTTTATAAGATCTTTTGCATTGCATGAAGATTATAAATTTTTAATATTATTGAAATTAGTATATAAATGTGCGATTACTTTTGATGCGTGAGGAATCCTAAATGCAAAATATGTTTTGATGCTATAGCCCATAATATGCTTGTCAAGGAATATAGTTTTAAATAAGGGTTATTTCAAGATATTAGCTAATTTTTAACTAGTTTTGTGTATAGCAGAGGACAAAGACCAGATATAAGATCATATATGTAAGAAATGCAGATTATTGTCTGTAATTACACTATTCCATAAAATATTTATCTCCTTAAAGTATAATCCAAGTCATTGCTAATACGATGGGCCATCTTTGAATATGGTAATTCCCTAAACCAGTTTTCTGTTATATGCTATGAGAAAATCTGTTCATGTGCTCTGCCTAGCTTCATTATGTGCTTACTGTATATTAGCATTTGAAGGTATAAAAATATGTATTCATCAGTAAATTTGTAGTTGATATGAGGGTAAGGTGAAAAGTTCTCAGTCTGACAATGAAAGACTGCAACTTTCAGTTTAAAAATGATTTTATTTTTCTACATAATCTCCCTTGACTTCAACACACTTGGTCCAGCATTTCTCGAACATCACTACTCTTTCCCAGAAATAAGAGTGTGAAGGTTGTGAAAATATTCATCTACGACCCTGTCAACTTTTTCACTGGATGCGAAGTGCTTCCCAGAAACAAATTTCTTCAAGTTTGGGAACAGATGGAAGTCTGAGGATGCCAAATCAGGAGAATAGGGGGATGGCAGAGCAAATCATACCCCAAATCCTGCAGTTTTTCCATTGTCAACAAACCCTTGTGCACAGGTGCATTGTCCTGATGAAAGATGATTTTTTCTTCTTCACACCAGGCCCCTTCTCGCGAATTTTGGCATTCAGCTGGTCAAGAAGGTTGGAGTAATATTTGCCTATTTTTGCAAGGTAATCAATTAACAGGTTCCCTTTCGCATCCCAAAACAGACTGGCTATGAACTTTCCAGCAGATGCGATTGACTTGTCTTTCTTTGGCACTGAACCACCTGCTGCTTAGAATGTTGTTTCGTCTCATCCATGGTGACACAAACTGCTGCACAAATCTGTAGGATCCCTGTTGAATTGGTCCAAAGATTCCTGTGAAAATCATACGCGCATTTGCTTTTAATCGGCATTCTGCAAATGCTGTACCCATCTTGCACAGAGCTTTCATATCCCTTATTCTTTATGCAAGATGTTTTGCACCCTTTCTTCCGATATCCCCGCAGTTTCAGTTATCACGCACACCTTTATTCTGCCTATTGTCCAACACTATATCATGCACTTTTTCGCTTGTTTCCGGTGTGATGGCGGTTTTTGGCCGTTCTTCACATGGATCATTGTCTAGGGATATGTGATCATGTTTAAATTCAGCTGCCCGCTTTTTAATAGTTGACATGGAAGGAGCAGAGACCCCATAAACTTGTCAACTTCAGATGAAGCTTAGGCTTGATCTAGGGCTTAATCAAATTCAAAACGAAGAATTTTTTTATGACCACTCAGTATTCAAGTTTATCCATTTTAGCGAATAGCGTGCAAGTCGTCTACTGTGAAAATTCATGTAAACAAACTAATTAAGAGAACAAGTTGAAACTTTTCATACAAACTAATGTTATGTTAAACTAATGACACCTGCACCCAGGCAGGAAACATAAATTTTTGCTGACTGGAGCACAGTCTCTAGGTCAGGCTGAAAATTTTTCACCTTACTCTCGTGACAATAATAAAAATAACTTATGAGCACACACACACTAAAAAATAATAATAATAAATAAATAAATAAAAAAGTAGTCTAGGCTTGTAATTACCTATCACTGTTTAAATAATGATACTCTATAAATTAAAAATTTCAGACAATAGCAGTGGTTATTTTTGAGGCAACATTTTTTTTATGTTTGAAATGTTATTTGCAGTCTTTCCATTTTATTTGGACTAAATAACTGTTTTAATATCTTTAGCCTTTCAGTGTGTTGCCATACACCAAAGCATAAGATCTTTAATCATTATTCTAATTTACTCTGTCTGTAATTGCTTGACAAACTGAGCACTTTAAAAGCAATGTATACCCCTTTTTGATAATTTAAAGCTTTATTTTATTTTTGATAATGTATCTAATCATATTGATCATTCATTATATTAATTTAAAATATTTTTATTTATAATACATCAGCTTTGTAATATTTATGAACATTTGCATTATTGTAATCAGTAAGATATGTTTCTGACATCATGTGTTACATATCGTAGCGCAGAATTGCCTGGTATAAATATATCTAATTAATGTTATAAAAAATGTTTAATTTATAAATTAATTAATCATAATAATTTTTGTAAGCATTTGAAACATTATTATAATTTATAAAAGTGTTATGTTTTTCTTTTTGATGAATCAAAATTTTCATAGCTTGTAAAATTAATGTATTGCTGTTGTTGAGGTCATGCCTCATTAGTTAAAGATTTATTTACTAATTTGTAACGATATATTTTGTGCAATTTTTGTATAAAATGTTATTCAGAAACATAAAATGCATATGTTTTTAAAGATGAATTATTTTAAATCTTTTATCTATTTTTTAACAAGCGGTAAAGTGTCTCATTTACACTGCTCTGCATCTGCGAGCGCAATCCAGAGCTGTAACTCAAGAAATAAACAATCTCGTTGTTAGGCGACGTGTGCACCACAATTTTTTTATTTTTGCAATAAATGCCTATCGACGTGGTGTTCACGTCGCTCGCGGTTTGAGACAAAAGCATCTCAGCACGTCTTTTTAGCGCAAGTGGTTAAGGCAAGATTATTCTTAATGCTTAATTTTATTTATGTCTGTTCATAATCATTAAATTTTTCAATAAAGTTAAAAAATTGATAAACTGCTTATATCATTCTTAGTCTTTTCTAATATTGTTTCTTTCTTTTTTCAGTTATCTCCATGCAAAAAATATTATACACAGAGATCTAAAATCGAATAGTATCCTTTTCAGCCAAGTTTTTGTGTATACAAAATATTTGAATTATCAACATAATTTATTAAATTAAATAAATTGTTGAAAATTATCAACATGATTTATATTTATTTATAAAAATGTTTGTAAGATTAGTACTAGTGTAATCAATGTTTAACTGTGATTATATTTTTTATGAAATTAAACTTTTTAAATATCTTGAATTACATTATCTGTATTGTTGTCGTTAATATTTATTTTCATAACCTTTACATTATTATCATCTAAATGGTATTAATAAAATATATAATAAAAACTACATGGTTTATAAATAAAAACTCATGATTACTGTCTTGTAAAATTATTTCTTAGCAAAATATTGAAATTTTTAATTAATATTTCTTATGAAAAATTCTGTTATTTAAAAAGAAGTAATGATTAACATTTGATTTAAGTCAACTGATTTGCAAAGAAATTTTTGAATAAGGTTTACAAATGGTATTTCGTTATTATATTGAATGTAGAGATATAAATATGATATTCATTATGCATAAGTTTTGTGAAAAAGCTTTTATATTAAAAAAGATTGCTTTCAATACTAAAATATTGAAGGAATAGTTTGGTATAAATTATAATCCTTTTGTATAAATAAATAGGCTGTTTCTTAACATATTCTTAGATATATTTCTTCATGAAGATTTAACAACTGTAAAAATAGGCGATTTTGGACTTGCAACAGTGAAAACAAGGTGGAGTGGATCTCAACAATTTCATCAACCTACTGGTTCTATCTTATGGATGGTGTGTGAAATTTAACCTTTCATTGTCTAATACTAAGAAAATCTTGTGAATATAAGGAAAATTTGTTACTTCAGTCTGCAGTTATTGTAACTAAATAGATATATTCTTGAAGACACATGTGAATGTTATGTTTCTAAAACTGAATCTTATTATGTTAAAATATAGTAAATTTTATAAAAGAATAACTTCCCATGAAGAGAGAGAATATGTTATTAATTGTTCTAAATATGCATTGATTCTTTTCACTGGATATTTATTCTACACCAAAATTAAATTTTACTGGTTATTATGATTATGCATCTGGTTCACTTTTTATCGCCTTTTGCATGAAAGTAAATAAGTTGATTTCAGTATTCAGATTTATTAGTATTTTAAGTTATTTGTTCCCTCCTTTCTGCATGCCTTCGTGGGGTAATTGGTAGTACACTCGACACATATTCGAGAGGTCCACGTTCGAGTCCCAGCGAAGGCATTGCTCATTTTTCATATACCCCTGCTTCCAAAAACCTAATGTCTCTCTCTACATTGGTGCCTGAACTAAAAGGTGGTAGATGATGATTCTTCACCAACAGGATTTGGCAAATGGGTCCCCTAAACCCCAGTCACACTTTAAAAGGAGGAAGTATATAAGGTATTTTCTCCCTCCTTTCTGCATGCCTTCATGTTGTAACAGTAGCACACTCTGCACATATTGAGAGGTCCGGGTTCTAGTTCTGACGAGAGCATTGCCTATTTTTCATGTTTCCCACTTCAAAAAAGTCCTAATGACTCTACAGTATAATTTATTTATAAATTTATTAAAGATTTAGTTGTTCCTTTTTTAAAAGGTCTGCATAATATTACCCATATAAAAACTGCTGATTTTGATATTAATTGCAAAAAATAAAATTTTAGGAAATATTTTATTGAAGTGTTTTTTATGCTGTTCAGAGAACTTGTATGTTATGGTACTTGTACAGTGATTTGTATTAAAATATATTTCATGTGTAATGTGTGTATATTTTATGTATTTTTAAAATCTTGATTTTTATGTATTTAGGCCCCAGAAGTTATTCGCATGAAAGACTTGAATCCATATTCTTTCCAGTCTGATGTTTATGCTTTTGGTATTGTCTTGTATGAATTGGTTGCTGGACAGCTTCCATATTCTCATATTAATAATAAAGATCAGGTAGGCATTATTTAAAGAAAAAAGTTTTTTATTGTGAAGATACAGCCACAGCTTTTATTTATGTGTCCCTTATGATTTTAAAGGCATGGAAAGTATTTGAAAAACAATTTTATCATATTGCTATGGTATTGCCAGATTTGAAGAAGCATCTGTTATTTCCATACAAGATATTGATAAAGTCTTTCAGATTATTAGCTGAAATATGACTTACACGTAGTTTTTTTAAATGGATTCCTCAGAGAAATACAGTCTTTTCTTTTTCTGAAGCATAAAATGGCTGTGTCTCTTAAGTATATCCAGAGCAGAGCTGCATTTTTTTCAGTTTTTCATCACAGATAGATCCCGATTAGATCACCAAATCTCCCCCACCCCCCTTTTTTAAAGGTTTATATTAATGAAAATATTTATTGAATTGATGAAACTTAAATTATGTAAATTTCATTCTTCACCCCAAGTAAGTTTCATCATTATTTTTCTTATTAAATTTTACTTTATCTGCATTCTCTTAATCTATTGTAACTTTATGTACTCTGTTTTAAAAAAAAAACCACTATTTTATAATATAGAACTATACAAAATTTTTGCATTGGTCTACAATAGTAAGGTAATTTTGCAGTATCAGTGTTTTTTAAATTATTCTTTACTTTATTTTTGTAATCAGGTGAAATTATGCTTATCAATATTTTGTTTTTTTATTTATTTATATTCTTTGTTATTGGAAAACAAGAATTCACATACTCTCCCGTGCTAATTTGTGTCATGATAGAAATGAGTTAACAGGTAATTACAGTACTTTGAGAATTATCTTGAAGTGCCTTCATTACTCAGTAAAGGAACTTTATTCACCACGAGAATCAGTATATTGCCGAGATGACCACGTTTTGTCATTTTATAATTTGCCAGGTGCCAATGTCTTTCTTCCAGCCTGCTTTTTTAAGGTATCAAGAATTCTCTTCATGTGTAAAAAATGACAAGCATTCTTTCAGCAGAATGATTTCCTCAACTAATTTTCTTTATTTAAATTTTTGTTAATGCAGTTTTAAAGAGGATAAAAATAGCTATAGCTTTGTAATCTTCAATGCAGGACTTTGTTGTGTTCGAGCTCACAAGGATTGCTGACAAGGTTTATAAATACTCGTATTTGTAATTTTCTCTTTACATGGTCAGACTGATCAGTTTTAACCCCTTCGAGCCGGGTAGCGAAAACGCGCGCTTATCGCGGAGGCCGGCGGTGTCTTATGCGAGCGCCTCTCCAGGGCCAGGAGCTTTTTTTGCTACTAAGCTTAAATCCATGAAATTTCCGAAGTATCAACGCATTGTTTAATAATGCTCTATAGAGTATTTAAACAGCTTATGCTTTATAGATATTTTTATATATATAGACTTTAATTACCTTATTTCTTGTTTAAATGCATATTTTACATATTTTATTTTAATTACTCACCATTTTATGACTTTTATACATCTGAAAACTAAATATAGTACTTAAAATTCTCTTTTCGTATGAAAAATTTGAAAACAGGGATCTACACACAGTCCTATGTTACATTCCTTGCACTCGTAATAACTCATTTGCCGTTTTGGAGGATTTTAAAAAATTTTCCGGGAATGTGAACAAACGAAGCATCGTCGTCTCATTTTCTTATCAGTCTCGAAATTCTGAACAAAGTTTTGGAAAATGTCTTTCAGTTAATCTTTCAGAATCAATATCAGAATTTCAGAAACAATATCTGAAATATTTTGCATCATTTCTGCTATTTCTTGCTCTGTTAAACATTTTCGATGCTTCGACATTGAAACGGTAAAAACAGAAAGAATTCACGTCTAACAAGATCTAATTATTTTCTAAAAACTGAACTGTAAACGGAAAAACTCAACGCTTTAGCACATATAAAACTTCTACTTACAATAAACAACTACCACATGCGAATAAAGTGCGATTTAAAGAGACGTCATAAATCAGGCCATTCGGAAACATTTAGTTCCCCGTTTGTTTATATAATCAAAAACATGCATATGTGAGTCATGCTTCTCTCATTTTGAGTAGAAGGCCTAATGTACATGTATCTGAAACCATATGGACATACAGTGTCATCTTGTGGCAGAAATTATAGTTTGAAAAATGTGCCAAGGTACTGGCACAAATACGTGACAGTCGGTAGAAAACGCAACAATGCTCTGGCACGCCTGCGTGTTGGCCGGTAGATAAGTGTGTTCGTTGCTGGCACGTAGACGTGACAGTCGGCGCGAAGGGGTTAAGTAGCTAGTAAATAAATAATCACTTGCGAAACTTTGTTGTGTTTCTATTTGACACCGCAGTGTAGAGAAGGTAGAGTTATTATTTTGTTTTAGCAGTTATTTATTAGATACATACGATTTTTATAAAAACTACTTTTTGTAACATTTTGATATGGTGACATTTTGGACCACAAAACACCCCTTTTCTCAAGATTTTGGTGCCGAGAAACACCAATTGAAAACTTTTCCGTGTGCAGAACTGGTAAGTGGCTTGGTAAGTTCTTAGTGAAGACATTATGTATAGAAAAATACCTTGAATCAGGAAGCACATAAGATATAATTTGGATAAAAAGATGGAAATGGCAAAAATACATATCAGCTATAAACAATGTTTACCATAAAGATGTACATTTTTTAATTTCAAAAGACACCAATACCTATTTTTGCTCATATATTGATTTAATGATGCATTGCTTGGCAGAAAGGAAATCATTTTATTTGCACGCTAAGCTCTGTAATTAATAATATGACCTTATTTACTTCAATCTTGAAAATACCCGATGAATTAAAAGTTAAATATGTTTAAGAATATCATTCGTTTGTACTTTAAAATCATACAAATGCTGATCATAAATGCACTGATATGTAAAAAATATGTTTCTAATTAATGCATTGTGTTGAACAGAATAACTATTAATGGCATCATTCAGTTTGTTCTTTGTTGATTCTGATTGCTTAATTCTGTTTTTGTACTGCACCAATGTTGTATACCAATGCAAAAATTGTTATTATTGACAAGAATTAATCAACCTTTCTTCCTGATATTAAAAAAAAAAAAATAATTTTGCTTCATACCATGGTAAACAACATTGGTCTATTCCAAAATGGAATACTAATACCAAGCTGTTGAAAAATAGACAAAGCAATTAAAAGTTTCTAAAAACTACCTGAAGTAAAACCACCAAGTACAACCTTCTGGATTTATGCATAGATACCGTACTAAGTAAAAAGTTATCTCTGAAAATATTTTACTTGAAAGTTTCATTATCCTATACAATTTGGCTTGGGTGTTCAAGAAATCAACATGCCTAGCATTCATGAAATCAAAAGTCTAAGAGGGCTGCATATAACAAATAGGTTTGGGAAAGGGCTCGGTGAACTGTGTGTTCTCCTTTTCCACCAAACGTTGTGTAATATGTTAGATTTAAATTGATTATATTAAATTTTTGTTTGTTTTTTGAATCAAGGAAAATGTTTTTTAATCAGTTAATTAAACGTATTTGTGAATCTATTAAAAAACAAATTTTTTTCTAAAATATAATTAATGAAATAAATTTTTTAAATTTATTTATTTAAATTTGTGTTCCATGTGTTTTTCTTGCCTACTCCCCAAGTTAGAGAAGAGTTAGTGGGCTGAAGTAAAATTTTGGCCAAACTAATTTTTGTAAGTCTTATATTTAAAAGTTAATTAGAATCATTGAGTCATTAAAGGATATTGTAAATATGACACTTTATATTTACACATTAATAAATTAATTTGTCTGTTACAAATATCTAAATTGCAAATACAGCTATTACTTGGCTTAACTCTTTAAGGTATGCATGATTGAATTATTTCAAATTATGTTATTTGATACAATGCAAAACTTTTTAATTATCCACTGATGTTGGTTATTGGCTAAATGAGTACAAAGTGGGAAATCTGGAAGTTTATAGTGATTTTTGGATGTAAATATTATGAAATTTTTCTTTTCAGGAAAATGATTTCTTTCAGTTATTGTATGCTTGCTATAGTATGTCTATGTTTTGTGAACTGCACATGTAGTATTTAGTGATTAGTGAAAAATGACTTTTAAGAAATGCATCAATATTAAACTTTGGGGAATAAATCCAACAGTTAAAATGTGGGGAGAGGGGACTTTTATTTCCATGGAACAAAATATGAAGCGTGCTTTTTGAACAAAATTAAATAAAGTTACCTTTTGTTTCCTAAGCGCACCACCCATTTCCATTTAAATGAAAAAGGAGAGTAGAAATTATTTTATTTACAAACTATAATCTTATTTTTATTTATGCTGTGTTAACATTAAACAACAAAATGTTATTTGCATAAACAGAATGCATCTATTTAACATTGAGGACCATCTTAGATATGGTACAAATTTATCTAAATCAAGTAAAAATATATGTGCAGTGCTTTCAAAACAGGGAATGCTTTTGGAATTTTTTTCCCCCAGTTCTATTTTTTTACGTTCTTTTGTCTTTGTGTTTTATTTATTTGATATAACGTTAACAGATGAATACTTATTGTAAACAAGACAAAACTTATGTATGTGAAAGAATTAGTTTATGTTGCTCTTAGTTTGTAAAATTAGAAATATGTGAATAAAAATTTTTAAATTAACTATGATTATTTATAACTTTAATATGTTTTTAAAGGGAAAAACATAATATACCTTAATTATAAAATCTGCTAGGTAAAGTTTATTTTTAAATGCATATTAATGGTTTGCTAATCAATTTTTAGTAATATTTGCAGATTTTCATAATTTGTATGAATTTATTTTCAGATTCTTTTCATGGTTGGTCATGGGTATCTTATTCCTGACCTTAGGAATACTCGATCTGATACACCTAAGGCTCTTAATAGGCTAATTGAAGATTGCATTAAATTTAGTAGAGATGAGCGACCTCTTTTTAGACAGGTTGGTGTTTTTTTTTAATTAAAATTTACAGTATTTATTTATGCATATGAAAAAAAAAAGAATTTTAAATATATAATGCTACAGATATTTTCTAGACTATTTAATTTCTTTTTTTATAGAATATATAAAGCATAAATAAATTAAATTGCTTGTTCTTAATTTTGATGATTTGCAATAAAAACGTTGCAGTGTACTTAACCAAAATATATTGTAGATATTTTTGTCAATTTCTTAATTTAAAGACTTGTAGAGAATTTGGGAGTGAGGAAACCCCCAATATTGTATTAGTTATGCTTTGTTATAAAATCAAATTTAGAACACTGAATTGCCAAATGAACATGCTAACTCACATTCGAGTAGAGGAATATCTTAATTTTATACACCTTTCCCAAACACACTTGAAAGTGATAAGAGATAGGCAGGATGACCCTAGTTGACAATCAAGTTGGTGATGAGTTATCGTCTACTGTTTTAATTTGGAGTCCAAGTATAGAGAACAGAAAACATAATTTTTTTTATAAATAGTAGGATGCTATAAAAATTAGTTTTTCTAATTTAGTATTGAATTAATGCCTTGAATTATTTGATCAATAGGCTAGAAAATCACAATAGAAGGGTGTTGTTAATTTTCTGAATATAATTACTGTTATTGGGTTCCAAGAGCTTCTTAAGTTAAATCAATTTTCAAGTCGTACAGAATTTTTAGAACAAGTTAATATTTTTACACACATTTTAATTTAAACTATTTAGTTTTAATCACACAGAAATAAATCAAAATTAATTAATTACAAGCAGTCAAGAAACTTAAGTTTAACTTCCTTTGTTTTTCTCTCTTTTCTTTTTAATCGTACAAATTTTAGGAGAATGCTATGTTTTATTTCTTTGAAATAACAACCACTGCAATAATTTTGAAAAATAATTAAGGAATATTAATGGTTATTGTACAGGAAATTGCTAAGAGTTTTAATTTTCGAGCCGAAAAAAGTTTATAAAGTTATTCACTGTTTTTGTGAATTTAAAATAATCTGAGCCCTTGTCTTGCATAATCTATACAGAGGAGGAGGGCTTCTTGACTGTAATCAATATGTTTAAAAGTAATCTTCCTTTTTATTTCTTAAGTTGAAAGAAATTTCAAGTTTAAATGTAGGCTGTGATAGTCTGTCCTTCAAACAGAGCTCATTTTTCAGAATCTGCATCAGTTGCATGTGATTTTGATGGTTCAAGGTGAGATGCCATAGCATAAATCAGACTTTTGTTAAGAAATGCTGTGATTTATAATAATGCTAGTATTAATGCTAGTACTGTGATAGTCTGTCCTTCAAACAGAGCTCATTTTCCATAATCTGCATCAGTTGCATGTGATTTTGATGGTTCAAGGTGAGATGCCATAGCATAAATCAGACTTTTGTTAAGAAATGCTGTGATTTATAATAATGCTAATATGTGTACCATAAAGGTGTCTAAAACCTCAATGACCTAGAAGATTGCATAACATAACATGTGTAAAACATCACTCCTGATTAATTACATTCCGCAACTGAGAACATTGCACATTGCATGAATTGTATCTTCCAGCTCATTGGCTATGTGGAACCTGAGCTTGATCTGCACCGCCATGTACCAAGCATAAACACATTATCTGTAACATTCTGCAAAAATTTAAGTATGCCATCTGGTTTTACATTTTCATTCTTTGTTCTTGTATTATATATTATACATTCAAAAGCACCATCTATTGTCAATTGTTGCAACTAATTTTTTTTATTGTTCCATTTTTTTCCCTTCTCAATTATCATCACTTTGCATCAGTTTTGGTTTCATTCGGATTATTCCTTCAAGCTACAGACAGCTCCAAATAACGTTAGTTATTTTATAACCACTGAGTATATATATATAAGTCATGAAAGATTGAAACTGTTCCCAAAAGAGTTGAGATGGAAAGTACAGATGAATTCTGACCAATTTATAAAAAGTTCGTTATTTTAAATAAAAACAAATAAGCAAAAATTGTCATGTTTTAATCCATTTTTATTGCAGAAAATATAATTATTTCATAAATTGATATAGTTTTATCAACCCATAGCTTTACTCCTTATATATATATATATATATATATATTTCTGTTAAAAAATGTAGCTATTCTAGCACTCATCTGTGTTAATTTATCTTCAAAAATAAATAGTGAAGTTAAGAAGTCATTATGTCATATGGTTATACATTGTAATAAAAAACTATTAATTAAATACTTTTTCCCTCCAATTTAGCAAATCCTAAGCTATCTTAAGTTCTATTTTGAAACATTAGTAGAATAATTTTTAGTTGTTGTTAATGTACTTATTTAAAAGAGATATATGGAGCAAAAGTGTATCTCCCTTGTCATGTATGAACCCTCATGTGGCTACCACTTTCATGAGATGACCACCTCTGAAGGTAACTGATACATCGGAGAACATAATTATGAGTACGAACATCATCTTCCTAAGATAAGCACATTTGCAGAAGAATAAAATTATCTGGAACCACAGGAGATCTGGAAACGTGGATGGTGATCTTAGAAGTGTTCAATTTAGTTAAGAAATTGTTACCCTAAAATAAAAACTTTTGTGATTTATTTTGCTGCCTAAAGGAAATTTACTTATTTATTGTTATAGATGTAGTATTTGAGATGTCAAATACTTGATGCTTAGAATTTAAGATGCTAAAAATGTATGAGTGCATACTTAATACCTATGCTAAAGAAGAAGTGAAAATTTGATCTATGTGCTAATTTCAAAATATATATATATATTTAGTTCTCTGTAAGAAAAATAAGTTGAGAAAATATGATTGTAAATCATCTATATGCCATGTATTTTATGCTGATTTGAGTACTATTTATTTCAGATATTAGCTTCTTTGGAATCATTAGCCCGATCCCTCCCCAAAATCCATCGCAGTGCTTCGGAACCAACATTGAACCGCACCCATCTTCAGTCTGAAGACTTCATGTACATATGTGCATCACCCAAAACTCCAATAAACAGTCAGTTTGGAGCCTTTCCCTTCTATTCTTCTGGATAGAAATAATTGTTTGTGATAATTCTCAAGTCCGTGTCAAGTGATGGCGGAGCATTGAATCCTCCTGATTTCAATCTTTCAAAACAAAATCATATCTTGCCAATGGCAAGTTATGATTTACTGACTATAGCACTGTAACTGAAATTATAAGCCTTCCTTGCCTAATTTAGATTGCAATAATGATTATATTGCAATGAACTTTTCAACTCTTGTGGTTACTGTAGAAATTATCTGATGGTACGCCATGTTTAGTTAATTGAAGCACTCTGAAAACTTCATGTACATATGTGCATCACCCAAAGACTTCAATAAACAGTCAGTTTGAAGCCTTTCCATTCTACTCTGCTGTGGAAGTTACGACTGACTTTTCTCATAGAGTTAATTGTTTGTGATAATTCTGAAGCCTGTGTCCAATAATTACATTGGAATGGTGGAGCATTGTATCCTCCTAATTTCAGCCTTTTCAGCCTTTGAAAACAAAATCATCTCTTGCTAATGGCAGGTTATGATTTTACTGACTTGTAGCATTGTAAATGAAATTATAAGCCTTCCTTGCCTGATTTAGATTGCAGTAAAGATTATATTGCAAACTCTTGCGGTTATAATAGAAGTATATCTGCTGGCCGGCCATGTTTAGTTAATCGAAGCACTCCGCCCAAAACATTGGTCACGGCTGTACGAATGAACGTGTGTGAGTGGGCAAGTACCCACCCTGTGTAAAGAATCATCAGATTTGTATAGCATTTTCTCATCATTCAAAACGGCAGCACATTTTTTTCTCCTTCTGTAAATATAAATGGACGATTGGGACGCATGCGCCTAAAGTTGTACAAAGGCCTGAAGAACTTTTCTTTTTTTAATTTATGTCTAAATGTATGAGAAAGGAATTGTGTTATTTAATTTTCTGTGTATTATTTAAACTGTAAATTTCAAACTAAAATAACAGACTATGAATTATGGACTGATTTCCTGGGGTATTTATTTCACATTTTTGTCTTTTTCTTTTTTCTTTCATCTGCAGGCAGTCATGGCAAAATTTAGTGGCTTAATCTCCAGAATAAAACTTAACTCAGATTAAGCAAAAAAGATTATGCCTGTTAGAATTTTATCATGAAGCATTGAGCATTTGAATTTAAATGCTCTCATGTTTATTAAAGAATATGTCCTTTAAGTCAAGTATCAGAGGAAGTTATATTAAATCAGTTAGTTCACAGCAAATGTCCATTTGATGTTGCTGCTGCATAAACATATATTGAATGAACAAAAAAAAAAAAAAAAAAAAGAAAAGAAAGAAAGAAAAAGAAAAAAAGAAGAAGTCTGGTTACAAGCTTTATTCTTGGTTCTGTACATCATTAATCTTCTTAAATATAAACAGTTTTAAGCAATTCCAGAGGTAAAAAATCAACTGGTGTTTCAAATGTAGAATTTCTGGAGCTATGCAGCACTCTCAGTGATCGAGGAGTTTGAGATTAATTCCTATGATGCTAGACTTACATGATTCTCAGTACAATATGCATTAAAAAAGAAGTGTTTGTAGTTAATAACATAGGCCCTTTTTGAAAAACCTTTGGATTATATGCTAACAACATAAGATATTGATATATTGAATTTCCAGTATTTAATAATTCAGTACTATACTAGTGATCAGGCAAATACAAATTCTGGGAATCTTGATTTCTCTGTTAATTATATTTTCTTTTTGTGCTTTTCATAAATTTCGACTACTTGTTGCACAATTTTCTTTACTTATCAAATGCTCATACTATTGCATTCATAATTTCATCATATAGATAGATGCCTTGGTAATTGGTTTCCTTCTGCAATGTATTACAACCCTGAAATGTTCATATTCACTCACTGCATTAAATACCTAAACATAAATTTATGTTCGAATTAATTGTAAGAGTGAGGAATGCAATGACTGTTTGGAATGATTAATTAAAGAACTCTACAACCAAATATTGTGTTTTATTTACAATCAAAGCTTATACAGTATTATTTTAAAAACTGAGGTAATATAAAAAATCAATACTAATGTTCTTGTGCGATGAAAATTCATGGTGAGTTTTTTTTATGATATCTGTTATCACCTGAATTATCTAAGAAGTACCCAAAAATAAAAATCTTCACTATTATGTGTTTATGAAAGAAGCAAATTTAAAATTCATAAATGAAAATGAAACTTACTTTTCTCTTTATACTTGTGTACTGAAATATCCCATTCTGTATTAAATCTTGAAAGAAATTTTGTAACAATAATGTAAAATTTATCATCAGTGCATTAACTTTTCCTGACCCAAAGTAAAAGGAAGTCCTTATATCTGTTTAAAATAATAAAAGAAATTATGACTAATAATGAAAAATCAAAAGGTCTAAGGATATTATAGATTTAATGATCTTAAATCCTTAAATCTATCATATCCCTAGATCTTTTGTTCTTCATTATTAGTCATAATTTCTTTTATTATTTTGTAGTTGCTAATCTCTGTATGCAGTCACCTGAAGAAAATTGTGATTGCTGTTAGGTGAGATAAGGAAGCACTTATGGCTGCATCTTGGTATCTGCGTGGTGACAGAAAAGGTTTGCTCAAGGACAGACACCCTAGAAATCAGGAATCTTTTACACCATTTTCCTTACCACGAGCCACATGGAGAAACTTTTGGTGCAACAGATTTTAAGTACTCCCTTTGCCAATAAGATATTATACATCAGAGTCAAGAGACCCTTTTTTTACTAGGTGGGCATATTTCTGAAATGCAGAAGTTAGACGGGTGTTGTAGTACAAAGTCCGAATGAATTTCTTTCCACATTGCACTTTTTAGAAATTGCTCTCAGCAAATGAATTTTATAAATGCATACTTTTTTCTTCATAATAAATGAAACAAAATTATTCTTCCCACTTCAGCATTCAGATGATACGTTGTCTTCTCATTTCTTTTCCTCATGAAGACTACATTAATAAAAATAAATATTTAATTATATCAAAATAGAATTAAATTATGTGGATTGTACAAGTACAGTGTTCTAACAATTTGTTTTATTATTGTGAAAACATTTAGGAATTGCTATAATACATTGTTCCTAAATATTGCAAGCCAAGCAAGAAAACTGCAATTTTTTTTTTTTTTTTTTAATTTTATTGTGCACTTGAAACAAGTTGTTGACACATAACTATCAGCTGAAATGAAATTATTTTCTTAGTACTAAACATTGCAAAAACAGTGTTATTTGGATCTGTTCAAAATACAAATTGATGAAATGACAAGTTTATGTAGAACAAAAATTATAGATGTAAAGCATAGCATGTCCTCGTTAAACAGTATGGGAATAATGGGGGACAAAAAAAGTTACTGTATACTGTAATGTGGAATCAAATGTTTCTAGCAGTCGAAAATTGATTCGTCTAGTCAATACAATACAAAGTCTGTTATCTGGACAGACACATCAGGACTTCGGCAGTTCTTTTTTTGGAATTTTTACAGATCATCAGTTTAAATTCAAAAAGATGACCTGTTGAAATTATAAATAAAAAATATGAAATATGGATTTAAGAAATAATGAAGCATATTACAACCCTAAGGAAATCAAAATTTACCAAAAAAAAAGCTATATTTATTTTGTGTTGTTGTGACTGATTATATCATCTTCATTTATTACTACTACTTGTTTGACAGTAGCATCAAAACAAACTGACAAAATTAATCGTGGCAAGATTGTGCCTGTCATTGGCAAGAGCCTTGAGCACCATATAGACAACAGTACAACTTTTTCAGCTCTGCCCCCTGTTTTGATGGAGATCACGCAGGTGGGATGGGTTAGAGCAGTGTTTCCGAACCTTTTTTGTGCTATGCCCCACCCAATCCTCTCTAAAATTTCTATACTTCCCCTAGCATATACATAATTTTTAATATTTAAAAATTGAAATATTCATGAAAGAAACTTGAATGATAGCTTTTAGGAAGAAATGACTTACGAAATGTTTTGAGCAAACACAGTAAGTGAACTTTCAAAACATGAAGAACTGAAATTCAAGAAGTGAAAGTTTTTTATTTTAAGTATTAGTAATTTTTATTATTCAAATTTAGCAAGTTCCTTGCACTTGATACTTGCTGCAAAGAAATTTTATGTAATTTAGATAATTTGAGTCTCAAGTCTCCCGGTTTCATCATATCCAACCGATTTCTTTTTCTTTTTTTTTAGCAGCAAATCATTTATGGCACTAAATCCGCATTCAGCAAAATATGAAGATGGAAACGGTAACAATAGTTCTCTTGCAAATTTTGTTGCATTTGGATATCTGATTCTGGTTTCCTCACAAAGCTATGTCATCGCTCCTTTTATATTAAATAACGTTTTAATTGACTCATAATTTTGCATTTCTGCGAGTTCTTTTTACTGCATATTTCAAATATCAGCCAAATCCACTAGCATTGGCTGTATCATCCAAGTTGGAAAATCAATTTGTTTTAAGTTATAAAATCTTTTAAATCAGCTGATAAAATTTTCAGATGATCGACAATAACAAGTATAGCGGTTGTCATGTCACATTTTTGGAGCCAATGAGACTTTTCAAAATTTTCGTAGTAAATAGTATATGCCTGACATAATTCAACAAAGATAATGAAACCAAATAGCTTCCTTTTGCATCATAAGTTTTATTTGCTCCTTGAAGTTGTTTATGTAATATATTTACTTTTTGAAAGATATCAGCTAAATAGCTCACATTGCCTTGTTATCATCCATTAACGGATTTTTCATTTCAGGTTTGTGGCTTAAAAAATAACTAAGAGTATCAAATAATTTCATAAATCTCTCCAGTTCCCTTTCGACAGCCTTCTTACTTCAGTGTGAAGTACAAGTCTCATATAGTCTTCATTTTGTTCTTCATAAAATACCTTGAAAAAACGTTCACATTTGGCCCTAGATTTAATAGCATTGATACACTTTATAATTGAATTTAGTTGTTCATTTAGAACAGGCAAATTGTTTTTAGCTACCAGGTTTTCTCTGTGAATAACACAATGCACAAGAAGCATTTCTGGATTCTCATCTTTTATCAATTTTAAGCAACCCTTTTTCTTATTCCGTGCTTTATTTTATTTTTCAACTATCATATTAGGAGCACCATCTGCAATACAAGATGTATTATATTTTTATTGATATATTTTTTATGTCTAAGTAATTTTTAGCTTATTATAAATATCTTTGGAGGTAGTGGTGCTTTCTAATGATTTACAGAACATTTCTTCGGTAAAATCCCCTTTATGAATATATCTTACATAAGTTACAAGTACGGCTTCACTGTCTCTCACAGTAGGTTCATCCATTTGCACCAAAAATTTTCTTGTTTTCAGCTTTTTTTCTTGTTTTCAGCTTGTTTTTCAACAAGTTGTATTTCAATATCCTCACTCATTTAATCTTTCTTCTGCAAACAGTATTGTTATTTAGTGGCATAGCTTTAACGTCTTTGTCATCTTTTTCTAGAAGAGTTTTAAATGCTGATATTGATGGTTTGATTAAATTCTTCCCTATAGTACGGCTTTTCCCCGATTAAGCGATGAGTAATGAAATTTGATAAATAGCAAGAGCACGATTAACAGTTGCATTATGAGTAAATAGACATTTTAATATTACTGTATTTTCAAAAATTTTCCTTAAAGTGAAATAATTCGAATCTGAATTAATATCAGCATTATGTTTCGCCTTTAAATTTGCCTCAAGACAACCTAGTCTCATTGATTTGTTGGTCAGGCATTATTGGCATAAAAGGACAAAAGTTGACCTTTTATGGACCGGGTAAGAAACCAAATTTTAAATATGCCTCATACCGACAAACGTTTTTTCTTGCTTGCACCCCTCATTTCACTAAGGGCTGAAAGAAATATATACAGTCAAAAGTCGTTAATCCGGACTCGTCGGGACTTCGGTGATTCCGGATTATAGATCATCAGTTTAAATCTGGTAAGATGGCATGCAGAAATTACAAAATTAAAAATATGAAACCATAATTTATGAAATAAAGAACAATTATGATCTAAAGGGTATCAAAATTTACAAAAAGAAAAAGCTTAATATTTATTTGTTTACTTTATTAAACATTTCCTTCAATGTAAGTTGCTTCATTTCATGTGATAATACTTTCTCCTTAATTCTATTAAACAGACATAATTTCTTGTTTAGTTACAAAGTTCCGCTGTTCAAGTCCTATAATTGCTGTGTTGAGAATACCGACTAATTTGTCAATCGAAATGTTTTCGTTTTCAATAACCTCTGGGTCACTTTCTTCACTATCGGAAGCGAATTATAATGACAAGGAACTTGATTTAAATCATATCAAAGACGGAGTATATCGAGATGAAATACTACATTTAGTACGGAATTATAAACCAAATAAAATAAAAACATCTGCTCTGAAGATAAGGATAGTGCTGACAGATCAACTTCCAATCCGCAGCGTGAAATTGATAAACAGATTTCGGATTTCAAAACATACTTTCGCTTTGTAGATACAAATTACATATTAGTAAATATATATCAGAAATTCTGTTTGACATAATCTTTCTAATCTATCATAATCTAATAATGACGTTTATGCCCCCCCCCTGCCGCAGAGCAGCGTGAAATTGATAAACAGATTTCGGATTTCAAAACATATTTCGCTTTGTAGGAAATATATATCGGAAATTCTATTTGACATAATCAAAAGTTCAAGCTTACTTTTATAAAATTGCTCTAACAGTCTGCAAAAAATAATAAGCTGGATCCAATTCGAAGATTAAGGAACAACGCATTCTGCAACATTAACTGAATTAGATAACTTTAGCTTAGTGTATAACTTCGTTACACATTAAACGCGCATGCGCACAAACATATTCGCAGCTGTAAGGGTCTTATGCGCTCTCGTAAACGCCTGTGCGCATGCGTGAACGCGACGCATGCGCAGAAAGTTTGTAGCTTT